TTACAACGTAAAAATATATTAATTTGAAGTATCAACAATGTTTTAAATTTAAACCATGAAATATTGTAATTTTCCATGAATTTCTGTAATTTTATAATAGTTAATATCTTTTACACAAAAGATAGTTTTATGCACAGAAATTCATAAAGCTACAAATCAAAGTTATTCTGAGGAATAATATCGCTTTGATTGTGAAAGACAAAGTTAAATAAAGCATTTATTAATCATATTTCAGGATATGAATCGCCGAGTAATCCATATTTCGGTGCCACCGTCGGACGAGTCGCAAATCGGATTGGCAAAGCAACTTTTGTCGTGAACGGCCAACGTTACAATGTGTCGAAGAATATAGGTGAGGACAGCCTCCACGGTGGTACTCACGGTTGGAGCTTCAAAGTGTGGAACGCCACAATTGTTGGCAATCGCGTGGTGATGACTTTGGTCAGTCCGGATGGCGACGAGGGCTATCCAGGATCGGTAACTGCGACAGTCAGCTTTCAACTGAGCGACGATGGAGAACTCCGCGTAAAGATGAAAGCCAAGTCCGGAAGAGCGACGCCGATTAATTTGACGAATCACAGCTACTTCAATCTCGCTGGACACGTACGTATATTGTTTCACTCTCACTCTCCGAGAGAAAGAGAGAGACAAAAGGAACATCTCTCTCTAATCTCATCTTCTAATCTCTAATGCGACACGTTCCGTATTGAACATTGAAAGAAGGAACAAATTAGAAAAGACAGTGCCGATGAACGTGGATCGTTTTTTGAGATAGAGATATTTATCTCAAGAATTACAGTTGCGCTTGTAATACAGGAAAACAGTGATAGATTTAACTGTAATTCTATTGTAATTGTATCTCGAGCATAATGATTACTTTGCTACTTGCTCGAACTAATCGATCGACTGGGATAAAAAACTATTATGGATCATTATTCTTAAATTTTTTAGGCTACAAATGCGGCAGAACTATATAAGCATGTGTTTACGCTGAACGCTGATCGCTGGACTGTCACGGACTCCGGGAGTATTCCTACCGGCGAGATTAGGTCGGTTGATAACAGCGTAATGGATCTCAGGACCCCGACGATCCTCGGTGATGTCATCGACAAAGTACCGGGCGGCGGTTACGACTATAACTTCTGCTTGCCAGAGCCGTACGATGACAGGAAAACTAGTTTCGTCGCCAAAGTATTGCATCCAGCTTCAGGACGTTACTTGGAGGTGTACTCGAATCAACCGGGCGTTCAACTTTACACATCCAACTCTATACCCGAGAGGAACGAAACTGGTATCGCGGGCAAAAACGGAGCGCGGTACTTCAGACATGCCGCTTTCTGCTTGGAAACGCAAAATTATCCTGACGCTGTAAATCACAAAAACTTCCCCAACAGCATATTGCGACCAGGCGATATATACAATCACATTGTCGTGTACAAATTTGGAGTGGAAAATTAATGCATTTCCATCTTCTGCTACAAACTCTTCGGAAGTTGAGAGACAAATATTCATATAAATATTATAAATAATAAGAAAGCTTGTGTGTCTGTGTGTATCGTTGATTTACTGCAATCATTATATATTATGTAAAAAATATTGTCAAAACTTGTAAAAAATAACTATTATGTCAAACTTAATATCTCTTTATAATATTAGCTAACGATTTATTCAGACTTTCTGTAAGTGTTGTAATTATTATTCTCCATATTGGAATTAGCGGTAGAGCGCACACCTAACTAGACAACGACGGTGAAAGATTAACTTCTAAAGGATTGTGTTTCTGCTTGGTAGTCGAGGAATCTATATTTTCCAGTAACCTCTCCTGCCGTTGCTGCGTGATGGACTTTGTAGAAGGTGTGTAACGATCCGATATCCATCCCTCCACATTGTATCCGATAAATCCAATAATACCCACGATAGGAAGTGTTATGTATTTACCGAACTTGCCCAAAGATCTCACTATCAAAGGCCACATTCTCTTGAGCGGGGAACTGAAACAGAAGCAAAGTTATTCCAATTGTTTTCTAGGAAATGTAATAACGCAAAATTTGCAAGAATACACAAAACACATACATATTTTCATGAATGTCAATATATAAACGTTAATGAAATGGTCAAATCAAATCAGAGATGTTATGACATATAAAAAGTATTTATGAATGTCGTGAAACGACATTTGTGTTACGTATAAAAAGAAAAGCAATTACTAATTGTAAGTATGAACGCAAGAACAAGTCTTCGAAATTTTCAACCATCAACATTTACAGAATTCTTTCGTTTTCATGCAGGTTATGTGAACATTTTTTTTAAACAGGTTAGCCACCTCGTAAAGTCACGAGGCGAACATCGATTAATCGAAAGGAAAATTAATCGAACAAAACTATCGGCTTCTTCGAATAATCGAGATTATCGAGAAACATCATCCATCTCTATCGGGGGACGCGTACTAATTGTACAGAACAGACATACATTTTCGTGTGACTAATATCATATACGATTAATTTAGAATGCCGGCGACGAACGTCGAGGACGATCCGTACGCGCACGTTGCGAAGGGCACTCTAAAATTGAAGAACGAGCAGACAGTGAGCAAAAAGTGAGTACCTCAGCCCCCTTGATATTTCTCGAGTGAGGTTAGGTTAGGTTTATCACAGATTGATTTATTAATTTATTTTTTACAAATAAATATTATCTTCTGTTGGAGCAAGTGATTGAGATAAATCGTGTGCAACACCTTCTTTTTGTAGGAAAAAGGATAAAAAAGGAAAGAAGAAGAAGCTGGTGGAAGTGTCGAAGATCATCGAGGAGAAGCCTCAAAAGGTGGAAATAAAGCGGACGAAGGCGGAATTGGCTTTTCAAAAAATGCAAGAGAAAATGGTGAGGATGTACATACGGTGTCTGTTAAACATACTTCGTACCTATAATAACATCAATAAGTAATTAGACTTCAGAACTTCTTGACGCTGACAAAATTCTTAATGTCTCAATGATTTGCAGCAAACCGAGAGGATCAAGCAGAAAGCTTCCAAGACGCATAAACAACGAGTGGAGGAATTTAATCGACACCTGGACAGCTTAACTGAACACTTTGACATACCTAAAGTGAGCTGGACGAAATAAACTGCGATGTATCTTAACAAATTTATTTATATAGGTGTATATATATATAATGTAAACAATTAGTCTTAATTTAATCTGAAGGTATGAACACTTTACACAGTTTACACACGTAATCATGGCATTATTTTAATCCCTACTTTCAAATGATTTTCTTTCTTTTTGTATTCTTTCCTGTTTTTGTTTTATAAAAAAATGAAAAAAATTAACCTAAATGTAAAAATCTTCAATAGATTTTTAAGAGAGATTCTATGAGGAAAGATAATATTGCATTTGTGTAACTTTAATGCAATTGTTTAAGGGTTAAATAAATTCTGTCGTTCTCTGAACATCGTATCATAAATATGTAAAAAAGTTATTAATGTAAAATATAAGAAGTACTTGTTTTATAAGTCATACAAAATATTCTTAATGTCGTACATTAGTAAAATCTTTGGGTGCATTCTACTTTGTTCTCGTCATGTACATATATAATTTTAAAATATATTTTTCTATCAGGCAGTAAAGATATTTAAAAAATTTAAATATAAAACAGTTAAAATAATTCTGTTTGGAATTGATCTATGTGTCCATAGATGTTTAGATTCACGTATATAATAAAACAAGCGTATGAAGCAGAATGCACCCATATTATGTAAGAGATTCTTCGTACGTCGTGGACGGACTTTCGATATATCAAGATATCTTACTAATTATGCATTGTCTACTTACGTAAAATTAAATGCGAATAGTGTTAAAGGCACATAGTTACAATATGGACGGAACATACGTGTGAGAATCGCTTACGAGCTCATATATGCTGATATTTCTTAAATAGTTATCTTAAATCTTTATCGCAGCATCGAGAGAATTAATGGACGGTTTTTCACTCCCGTGCAAAGAATTATTTACACCTCTTTAAAATAAAGTACCACTACCAATGGTATGACGACCAAGAACGAAAAGTGGCTGTTCGTGTTGCCGGCGTTACCAAAACGGAAGACGTTGACATAGTTCTCCGTTTGCACCCAAGGATTGCTCCCGTCATCAAAATGCATCGGACACTGATCGCGTTCTCGCTCGTATTCCTGTAAAACGATCACACACGCACACCGGTGAGCGCAGTCTCATAACACGTCCAACTTCTAACATTGTTTAATTTATATCATACTCGAAAGGACGTCCCTCCTCACCTGTAACTCTAGCGCGACTGCTGCGCCTTCGGTATAATTTTTACTCGTCACGTCTTGCTTGAGGTCGCAAAATGGGCCGATGGCCTGAGACAAGAGCACTCTGTTCAAGTCGGCCCTCTGATATACCCAACAACGATATTTGCTGAAAGGATCCAATTCGTCGTACGTTATTAGATACGACTTTAAATTTTCCTTCCAATATCCAATACATTTCATTACGTAATCCGGATCGCCTTTAAAAATAATATTATCGTCAATAGAGCTGTATAAACACGAAACACGATAGCTGGACGTACAAAATGTGAATGGAACTCACTGTAAATGTCAACCGGTTTTCCCAAGTGATCCACAGATAAGCAGTACGTTTCGTCGATGGCGATCTCCTTCTGATCGGTATTACAGACCGAGAAGTCGGAAATATTTTGTTTGCAGTAAATATTTGGTCGCGGAGATTTAGTGACACCGCCTAGAATCCTAGTCTCAAATAGAACATCTCCTTTTTGGTGGAACATATATTTACCGGCTATCGGGCAGCGTACCGGAACGGGATTTTTCGCTAATAAAATTAAGATGTAATGTAACTCAACCGAAATATCGCGTGTCATGAAAATATGAGAGAATCTAACTTTTTACATCGTAATTACCTAAAAACAGATCAAATTTCCATGCTTCCTTGTTGGGAAACTGGACCCAAGAACACACTGTATGGAAATCGTCTTTTATCACAGCCATTCCACGTCTGTATCGGATAACATTGTGATGTCGTCGCACGAAATCGAAACAAACGTAATCTTTTTGGCTGCAAATGCATTTTAATTACTGCACAAGCACTCATAACGTATAACAACACTTTTGGTCCGGTAAACATACCATCCATCAACGGTCAGTCTCGCCATCATAACCCTCGAGTCTCTTTGTTCGCGACAAACGTAAATTGTTCGTCGATAACGTCCCACGTCCGGATACCAGGTTTCGATGATATGCGTTTCGTTAATGAAAATGTCCGCGTCAATGTTAGCAGTGTTTATCCAATTTCCAGACATGTCCTCGGGCAATCGGCAACCAGGCTCAACTATCTCGGCCTTAACCGGCGTGACCCGCAAACGTTCCGGGCTCTTTTCCACGGTTTTAAGAGTATTACATTCCGCGGTGATTGAAACACCGATGTACAAATCGTCGTCGCGATTCTTTAAGAAGCATCTATACTTCTCGTCCTTCCGCGACTCCTTCGTATTTGCTACCGCAAAGAAGTGATTCTTGTCGACGAACCAATCGCCCAAGCAGCTGTATTCCACCACTGAAAAAGAAAAAAAAGTTTATATCCACATCTTTTGTTGTAAATCGTTGTACATCAAAACGTGTACAAAGACATGGTTCACAAGGTAAGTATTTCTCATTAGGAAAGAAAGGAGTCTAATTACATCCATCAAAGGTTCCTTTCATTCCGGGACATTTCTTGTAAGTAATGTTAAATTTTTGATTGGTTATAAGAAACTGAGTTCCGGCAGTCTGACAGGATTTTATTTGCGCATCTGGATTATTACATTCTCCTGTAAATCTAAAGCGATTCTGAAATAGTAATAATATATAGAGATACATCTTTAGTCTATAATTAATGTGCATAAAGTGACAAGTGCATGTGTGATTTTCTTGTCTTACTTGATAAGCAAACTGCCAAACTCCTTCCAGGGAAGATCTGCAATTCACAGGCACGTAATTCTCAGAGAATAATGTTATCAATTGCTGATTCGCGTTTAAACCTTTACAAACGTTATCCACGGTAGGTTCTATCCCACTGGGCAAATTCACACAGCTCACTGCAACAAGATGCCACGACTGTTAAATATACTAATAGAGTAATAGATTATATATATATATATATATATATATATATATATATATATCTTTTGCGTTGACGATAATATGGATAATTTTTTAAATTAACTGGCACAGACCAGCATGTGTCACTTGCCTTCGAGCTTCTCCAAGACGTTTACTGTCCTGACAATCAGTTTCACGCAATGATAACAGCTGTCATACTTGATTGGAGTGTTAGAATCTCGAAATACAAATGTGTAATTAACATGATATTCCTCTAACACGTTGACGCATATGCCTCGTCCAGTCATACTGTTGGCATTTATTTCCGTCAGAGTATTTCTGCCGTTTTCCCAGGAGAACCAAGATCCCCTGATGACCAGCGGAATTTGGCAATCACTCGTATTCTGACCAGCAACTGCCAGATAATATCTCATTAAAATTAAACATGCAATTATATTCCAATATACTCTGTCATGTATTATTTTATAACAATAAAATATATATAGATAATATAATTTTATAATAAATATATGTACAATAAATATATGTTCCTTCCGTGAAACAAAACAATGAGTTAAATTTTAAACAAATTAAGCAAAACATGTATGTACATACATACGTGAAATGTGTCAAATTTATTTTGATTCACGTATGGGCAGTGGACACCTTTGGATTTTGGATTAAAAAATGTACGGCTTACGAACAAACGGAATGTAATATAATGTGACGAGATATGGATATGAAATTTTGGAATTTTATTAAGTAGACAAGTATCTCGATCTATGAACAGTATTAATTCTATCGTGCTTGCACGTACAGCACAACATTCGACTTCACTGTCCACTTTGCAGAAAATTAATTGATTGAAGAAACTTACCATGCCATATAAGACAGGTTACGAGAGGGAATATGAATAACCAGCCCTTCATCGTGCTATATCATTTAGAAAGACGAAAATAATGTCAAAAATGTCAAAAATACGTCTGTGTTATGACTGTGATAATATGATAATAATTGATAATTTGAGGCCTAAAACACACGCCCAACACCATTAGGCACAGTTTCGAAGTCACTAACGGTTATGACGCATCCCGCAACCCGTACGTAAGTACGTTTCCATCAATGCGACATATGGACTGGACTGGACATGGAACTTATGAGAGAGCCTCTAGACCACGTCGTCAATTGGCTGATTAAAAATGAAATTATCCGATTGGTTGGTTCAGTGGAGAAACTCCATCAGGCATCGGGGGCTGTCAATCGCAACGTGGTCAAAGATCAAAGGTCAAATGCGAGTAATGGGACGCTCCCAATGTGCACAATTTTGTGGTTCTCTTCCGTTAGGTTACGATTTTTTCGTTTTTTTTTTTTCCAAAGAGAATGAAAAAATCGTGGACATTATATCTATATAGGATTCGGGGTAACAACCAAACACGTGGGCATGAACTCCTGCTCATTAGCATTTGGCAGTGCCCATAGACATAAGGGAGAATTGGGGAGAATTCACACCTTGGCAGCTACATTTTTGCTGGTTTTTGCCTTTAGGACTTTAGGTAAAAGTTCACATAGAAACAGTCTTCAGTAGTCTTCAATGGGTGCGTTCAGCCGATACTCCGCTAGCCTAGCGCACGTAAGCAGCGAGCGCTTTGCTACCATTTGCTACGGAAAAATTTGGCTGGATAGAAGCGAGCGCTTGTTTCCTCTCTTTTTAATCCATTGGGTCAAAGGAGAGGAAACGAGCGAAAACGAGCGAAAACGAGCGACTGCTCACGATTGCTAGGCTAGCGGAGTATCGGCTGAACGCACCCAGTCACCCAGTGTCTTCAAAGCGCGCGCGCGCGCGGCACGCGGCACGCAGAGCATCCAGACCGGGCGGGGCAATCCGGTGAGGTGAGAGGTGAGAGGTGAGATTCCGGATAATCTGGAATCTGGATTCTGGATTCCGGACGGCGGACGGCGGACGTTCCGGATTCCGGGCTGCTTGATTCTTGATATGAATAATGCTGACATCAGTTACATCACCATAATCACAAGGTGATTCTGGTGATTATGTGTAGTTGATTCAGTTGATTGGTTCATCGATATTTCGTCGTGTAAAAATTGCACGCTTTCGAAATGTATTTAGTTGGATTGACTGGTGGTATCGCCACCGGTAAAAGCACGGTTGCTGCTGTCTTTCGGGAACACGGCATCCCAGTTGTAGATGCTGATATAATTGCCCGAAAAGGTTAGGATGCAAACTTTAAATTTAAATGACACTTTGTATTATTTTCAAACGACACTTATATTCCTTATGTTATTTTTCTTCTAAACTACATTTGCTTCGAAACTTTATTAGATTGTTTTCCTTCTTCGGCATAAAATCCATTCGATACTGTAAACTACAGTTGCATAATAAAGGCAAATATCAAGTTTAATTGTACGGTATTTAAGTATCGCAAATTTGACATTTTGATAAGTAACGCCTGAAACAGATAAAGCATTTGTCCAGAAATTCGTGGCATTTTGCATTTATAGCGATGAATATTCTTTATATATGAAAAATTAACAAACTTATGGATAACTATGTTTGTATGTGTGTATCCAGTTGTCGAGCCAGGAAAACCAGCTTGGCATAAAATACAGAAGGAGTTTGGTCCGGATGTGTTTTTGGACACCAAACAATTGGACAGAGCAAAACTTGGAGATTTGATATTCAATGATGTCGAAAAGAGAAAGAAACTTAATGCCATCACGCATCCCGCGATATATAAAGAGATATACTGGCAGATTATCAAATACTTTTTGCAAGGTCATTCGTTCATAGTCATGGATTTGCCGTTACTTTTCGAAACAGGGCACATGTTGAATTACCTGCACAAAATTATAGTTGTAACATGGTATGTATGGATTTCACGTAGTATGCTCACCAATGAAATAGTATTAAAGATCAACTTTAATAGTATTACTTTACATAATACTTAAAATTAATATTTTGTCGGTGGTATGGTGTTTTAGCTAAAATATTGTATTGTTTTCTCCTTCAATTGGGAGAATATATGTAAGGAATTTTAGCTCTTTTAATTGCCTGTAAATCATCCTCTGTGATTTATCACTTCCAGCGAAGAGGACCTTCAGCTTCAACGATTAATGGAACGCACTGGATTTACAGAAGCTAAAGCAAAATTAAGAATAGCTGCGCAAATGTCCTTGGAGAAGAAAGCAGAGATGGCAAATTTTGTAATTGAGAATTCCAGCAGTGCAAGAGATACCGAGGAGCAGACCATAAAAGTGATCAACGTGCTACGATCTTCCAAGCATCATTGGAAATTGCGTTTTCTAATCGGATTTTGTTGTACCGTACTGTTAGCTGGCACGTATTGGTTCAGAAGCAGGAGTTCTAGATCTTTATCCACTGCACCATGAAATTTTGTTCTACTAAAATTATTCAGTTTAGAAACAAATAGACGTTTTCCGTAAATCATGGTTGCGTGATAAGAGCGAGCGTGTATTTTGTTAACTTTTGTACAGTAACGCATGCGGAAAATCGAAATTTTTATCAAGTATAAAGCAGATGACCGTAATGTATACATTTGTGGATTTGCAATTTTGTTGGGCTAGTCATTGTGTGATAAATTCAATTCTTTTATTCGACGCGACGAAATAGATATCTGTACGAGACACGAGTACTATTAGTTACACAAGTTACAGCTATGTTCCATTACAGATGATTACTCTTTTATAAAACTATGTTTTAATTGCAACACTATTAGAGCTAACGATAGGGCAAAGGGATACATAGTAGTTTATATCTGTATTTACGTGGAAGGGGCACATGCATGCATGTGCGTTATATACGTACATTTTAGGCAATAAAAAAGTTGCTGTGGATTACATAAACTACAGCTATCTTGCGATCGAGTAAGAGATAAGGAAGAGACAAAACGAGGTAGTTGCTCGTGAGCGCTCGATTAGACAGCTCTCGTACAATTGCTACATCGAATTACAAGTTAAACTTTTTTGTATAATCTGTATTGAAGATGCATCGTGAATGAGTCATGTAATTAGCTACTAGCAATGCACTCATCAAACTGGATGCAAAAAGTTATATAATAAATGTAAATAAAACCAGGTAATATATATTATTGCTATTATACTTCCCCAGAATGACATATCCTTTTTCATTTTTTTTAAATTTAAACCAATAATGAAAAACTAAAATTTGTACCCATACTTTGTTATCTATACAAAAATTTCGCGCTCACAAGTACTCGAGGATAAAAACCACGTTCGTCTTTTCTTCTTTTTTAATAAAGTGCCTTTTAACATAAATTTATACGTAAAAGATTTTACATTTGTATGCATATATAAAATACGCGAGTACATAGTGCTCAATTTCTTACGTTAATTGTCGCAAAATATATACAAGTATCATATCGAGTCGTGATTAACAATCGTGATACAAAATCAGATGTATACCTATCCATATTTGGCGTACAGCGCATTTCTTATACACTGCATCTCCCATATACTGTGTATAAGTAAAAACGTAAATTTATAATTGCTTCATCGTTCTAACAGAAAGTTGCTTACTTATTGTTAGTAATAAGTAAATTATAAAAACTGGCAAAGGACCATAAGTACTTAATTAAAATATTATTTAATGCGAGTTATATGCAACCAAACATTTGCTTACTAAAAGTAGAAGTAGAAAAATTCTCTCGGGTAAATAAAGGAGCAATGGAATACACTATGTACAATATCCTGTACGAAATAGCATAGTAAGGTTGAGTAAGGTTCCGCAAATCCAGACCAATAAAGCGCGATGCGAACCTTTTCTATTAAATATATTTCTCAATATGCTACAATTCCTTACTTAATGTACTAGATTTTTTCTAATCTTCTTTGTACTTATGTTAACGCATTATCTAAAAGAGATATCCCTTTCTTTTATTTATATCTCCTTACTTTACAAATTTTTCGACGGTGCTCTTATCTATTACTATTCTCCAGTTTAGCTTTACACAAAGATGAGATTAATATGATACTACGCAATGACATTATAATGCAATAAAAAGAAAAGAGATAAAGGAACATAATGTCACGTCGTAACTATATCTCGTAATTATAGATTGTCATTCCTGTTATTCTACAATTATACACACTTTGAACATATATAGCTGTCGACATTATCGACAATGGTTATTGCGTAGTTGTATGTACACTCAAAAGTATGTCACCCGTACTCAAACAGTATATATATATATATATATATATATATATATATATAATTTTATGCCTTTTATTTAGTTCAGATGATGAGAGGCTAAATAGTTCCAAATTACGTTCGTCCTTCTTGAATTTGGATAGAAACATCATGGGGCTGCGTAAAAGTAAACCCATTGCTGATGAAAAGCGAAATGGGTAATTGGGAAGGCATACAAAGATCATTGGCGCTAAATTATTGCTGCAAATATTTCATGAGTAATGATTGTAATTCATTTATAAATCATAAGATGAAGATAGCGATGAGGAAGAAGTAAAATAATAGCACCAAGAAAAAAGTCAGATATTGTTATAGAAGTGTCAGATACTGTTATAGAAGTGTGAACTGAAGCTTGATAGAAAACTTTCAGTGGAGAATGTGCTCGTGATCGTGGACAAATTGATGAATAAGACGAACGAAATGTCACTGCAAGAAACCGCAAAAACTTTCAGAAATTGACAAGACAATTATTATGAAGAGTACAAGATATACGAATTTTGTGAATTAACCAGCAGTTTTGTAATGCCAAAGATAAAAGATTTGCCTGTTCAATTGGAATCCAATGATGCAACCGAAACAGCCGATTAAATTACTTGAACAGTGGAAGTATCTTAGAGAATGGAGCTAGAGTACAACTCTTAAGACACGGACTATGCATTCATACGATCAATTAGTATGGAATGCTTGGATGCCGATCAGAGGAATCATACACTAATTGTAAGTAATCCCTAGAATATAATATACATCAATAAATTTATGGTAATTTAGGGCCAATTTCACCAACTACGGTTAGCTTAACCGACGGTTAAAGTTAACAGGATTGACCAATAGAAATGAATCCACCCTGCTAACTTTAACCGTCGGTTAAGCTAACCGTAGTTAGTGAAATTGGCTTTAAAAAAAGTAAAATTAATCACAAATGATTAGAATATGAAAAGATTTAGAAATAGAAAGAGAGAGAGAATGATTATTACATGAATACAAATGTGTCTATTTACTACGGTGATACACTGGTTCATTCCACAGCCGCTGGTTTCTATCTTTCGTATGTACTTTCGAGCGTACTTGTAAGTTCCATTTAGTAAAGGTAAATGGACGCGCATTATGATTCTTGATTCGCCTACATAGCCGAGTAGGTGGTACACCGTACATACGTACATAGATATCCTATCAGATATTAAGTTCTTATTCTCGTGACGCAACTTATTGCAAGACAGGCCTAAGTTCCTGCGTCATAATAGGATAAGAAACGAGAGGCGCGGTCGCGCCGGATATCGACAAGGGTAAACTGGCGGGTTGCTGCGTATTCGGTGGTTGCTGATTAGTCGCTTGGGGAGGCCCGGAGCCACTCATTGAAATAGTTTGCTGAGCCATGGTGACGATCGGCGGTGGTATCGAGACCGGTGCCATAGAGACCGCCGCGATAGAGACGGGAGCTACGGTCGCGATGCTCACGGGAACGGTAGCCACGCTGGCAGTGACCGTTCGTAGGGTGCCCGCTGCCACGGCCGCGTTGACCATTTGTTGGGGTGTCGGAGCCTGCGACGGCGGAACTGTATTCGTAATCGTGACTGCCGGAACCGTTACAGCGGTTACGTTTGCCGTTCGTTTGCCTGACATTCTCAATTGAGCGTTTTGGTCCAATAGAAACTCGTTCGTCGCCGTCAAATCGCTGACCTAGATCGAGACACAAAGTGTACCCAAGTACATGAGTAAAAGCGAAATCGCGACATTTGGGCGATAACTCGTTTCTTTCTTTCTCTACGATATACCTGCTTCTTCAACTCTTCTATCTTCTTCCTCAACAGCACATTTTCATCCTCCAGGACAATGGCTCGTGCCTCGTTACGCGGTATTATGGGGTAATAATAGCTCGGCGTGACCGTCGGTTGAGTCGCATGCTGCTGACCCACGATTGGAGAGGCTTCGAAATGTACGACTGTTTCACCCGATACTAATCGCCTCTTCGGTTCTGGCGGTCCGATGTAATCGGCTGGATGCGACGTGTTGTAACCAGCATTATTAGCAACCAAATTGTTATGATCCTGCATTTGCCAGTGGAAGCTACAATCATGAAATAAAGAGAGAGGGAACAAAGTTGTTACGTTAGAATTCTGCGCAAAACAATGTTGCAAGTTAAGCTCCTACGGCACAAGAAAGACATAAGAAAGAGGAAAATCCATGGATCTCCTCGATTACGACGCTTACTTTCTGTCCTCCTCGTATCTACGCCCATCGCCACCGGTAGCACCGCCGTTGCTGGTGCCGTTGAAATTGTGCTGCGGTCTGGACACGTTGTGATGGGACGGCGACATCAGATTGTGCTGCGGCTCCTCCTTCTTCAAATGCCTAAACTTGCAATTGACCCTCTGGCAGCTGCCCTTCATAAAGTCCTTGCATAACGGATGATCCGGCTTGTCGTTGTTGCAGGTCTTGGATCGATTGAGGACATGAGGCGGCAGCTCACCGGTTGCTCTGAAACGCTTCTCTTCGCTCTCGGTGCAATGGAGAAACTTGCAGCCCGGCCAATTACACTTGCCGTTTTGGAAATCGTGGCAGAAGGTATATTCCTCGACGGGATCGTCCTCCGAACGCTCGTGAAGATACTTGCAGCGTTTTCCCCGGTGGCAAACATTTCTCAGAAAGTCCCGACAGATCCGACTCGCGGTGTCGGTGGGGTCAGTCGCGTTCACGTTCAATCCCCCCGCCATCCCGACCGCCTGATGCTGATGCTGCCCCGTCGTCGACGTCCCCGCCGCCGTCCCGCTGCTTTCCAACTTTACCTTCAGTTTTTTCATCGGTGGCACATGGTGATTCGCACGTCGAACTACGATCGATCGACGAACCGGCTAAGCGCAGCTAATACGACGCGCGCCCCTGAATAAAGAAAAAGAGACGACGGTAGATTAACGATGGATTACAACGATATTATTAGTGCTTCGACAAGGAAACTTTGCGCCGTATTTGCTAAATACGACGTACTTACGATATAAGCCGTTGATTTGCATTCAAAACTCATACTCATGTATTTGACTTAATCTTTACAGCGTTAAATTTAGGTGGCGATGGGATATATTAAAAGTACAAGAAACTTTTCAATCTTCTTTAATTAATTAAGTTAGTTTTTTTTTTATCTTTATTTCCCCTTTTCGTATAATGACTATTACATCGGTAGTAAGATTATATCAACATTACTATGTACAGCATTTTTATTTACCATATGTACTTTGATAATTTGATATATACGCTTGATCTGCCAAGAAAGTGAGCTCGCCTAAACGAACGAACGAACGAGCGAGCGAGCGACCGACCGACCAACTTGCGGCGTACTTTTTTGGAAAATGTCACGTATACCTTTGTTTTCGCCGCGACACACAATGATTCTGTTATCTAATGCGGTACAAGTACGCGGTAAACATGGCACTCTCTAAACTAAACTAACGAATTAAGAAAATACTGTCAATTTCCCCGTTTAACGTTTCGTATCAAAAGAATTAATATAGAAAACTACGGTTATATTGGATCTTCTCGCTTTAAGACGTTATTAGATAATATCAAGGCCATTCCAAGGTAGAATCGATAGAACGGTACTGACAATGAGTGCTGAGAGAAATTTGCCTTCGAGAAGTAAATACATACGTATCCGCTTATTAATTTTATTAGGTCGCTCGAACGAATATGCTCTTGTATATTGTCACGCTAGGGAAGAAAATTAAGATATCAATATATCATTGTGCAAAGAAAGGTCAAAGGACCCAAAACTCGCCGCAAGACCATGATACGTTTCGCGATCAAATTTTCGCTCGAGAACAATGCACTTATCATCAGAAGAGGCGCGAGAGTAACGCTGCAACATATATGATATACGCATGCTAATGTATACGTGAGCGATCGATTGTCTCTCTCTTTCTCGCTCTCACTCTCTCACTCTCGCTCTCACTCTCACTCCCCTGCAAAGGTCGTTCCCAACTCTTAAAGTCGCCCTCAACTAAAGAGCTTGAAAAAAGAAAGCGTGTTATCTGATTCGAATGAGACGAGTACGAATGATTATGTATCGTTTTTCGCGCGCGAATTACTTTCTACAATTAATTATATACAAATGTATGAAGATTTTGAATAATCGAAAATGACAATGTGTGCTGCGCGCGTGTGTTTATATCTTTTTTTTTTTGTTTTGAGATGCACGGGAGAGAGTACATTCTTGTAAATTCTCGATCCGCAGTAAAGGATACAGATTTAATCTTTAGAATATGCTATAGAAACGTATCGTTTAAACAAGCAAACATGCAACGAAATACATAATATATTATAAAATTGAGCCGTATTAGGAGATATGATACTTAGCAGCTTGGCAGCATGTTGAACATTTTACGTGGTATCGTGCTTACATTTTCTCCAGCTACTTTTACTCCTCCGAGAGCGTAAGTCGAGCTTCCGTGTTGTGAGAGATATACATACATATATTCAATAAACGATTTTTGTCCCGTCTTTGATCTTGCTCCTCTTTCGTAAAGCGTCCTAACGCGACACATTATTCTTGTTTAACATCGCACTTTCTAACGAGAGGCTCCTTATCCTTAGCCCCGAGAAGACTTGATTCGGGAAATTAAACAGAGAGAGATACATATATATATATATACACACACAATTCTTAACAATTGTTTGTATAAAAAACATTAAATTGTGCTCGATGTGGTCGTCCTCAAACGACAAAATGGATAGCTTAACGAAATTTACAGTTAATTACAGTCGATATTGTAAAAGAAAGAAAAATAAATGAAAAAGGATAAAACGTTCGTCGTGGAGCGTGTAATATGTACAGAAAGGAATATTAGATGGCAGGGGAGAAAGAGGCGCGATTAGAATATCTTCTCCAGTAGCATCCACACCAGCATAATCGCGATAGGTGCCACGTAATGTATCGGTACGGTGTAATTTGCACTTAGCAGATCACCGCACTGTGATTTAAGGGACACGTATTTCTTTGACAGCTCCGCTTTCTCTTCGACGAACGCGTTGTACTTTTCTTTCACTATAACCAGCTCCTCGTTGACTTCCTGCATCCGCTGCGCCTCGTTCTTCGCGCGGTAGTACAGCTCCTTCAGCCTGTCGATGACGATCTCGTTCGGCTCGCGTATCAGCCAGTCCTTCAATTCCTCCAGCTCTTTTTGCACCATCTGCCGCGCTTCCAGGCCATCCTCGCCTCTTAACGAATCCAGAGAACCGATTAACGTCTGCAGTATATAGTCTCTGGAATGAAAAGCTTGTTGTATCGTATCATTTTTCGTGACGGGTTTTAAAGTTTTAACGTAATCTCCTTCTGCGCGCTCTTCGCACTCCGGCTCAACATCATTATCCTGGTGGTGGTGGTGGTGGTGATGGTAGTAGTGCTGCTTATCTTTTTTGTCGCGCTTATCTATCGCAAGATCGACGATAGAACTGTCTAGCGTATCCTCAATGTCCACGTAGGCACTTTCTTCCGTCGAAATCTCCGCGACTCGATCATCTTTGGCAATTTGTTTTATTGGCTCGTAATGTACATCCGATTGTGGACGGTACACGGAATTTGCGAATCGTACCTCCATCTTGCCATGTGCCTGCTTGGACGCTTGTTCCGTGTCCGGCTCCTCCTTCTTATTCTCTATAACGCTCTTCTCGCTCATGTCGTCGTTCGTAATACTGCATGTGTCGTCGGTCGCTTCCGAGTTTGTGTCGGAGTCTCCATTGGTATCGCTGTTGTCTAGGTTGTCTAGGTTGGCCAAGTTTCCATTGACTAAAGTTCGTCTGGACGATAACGACGATAACGACGATAACGGCGGTGGGACAATATATTCCGTGAGACTATCTTCAGCCGTGGTCTGCAAGTCGTCCATCTGGTCTTTGGTGAAGGACACGTCGGATTTCAGCTGCTTCGAATCAACATCTGACGAATTAAACTGATTATCTTGCTCACTCTTGGTGAAGTAAAAATTAATCTCGCTGTCCACCTCCATATTATCGACATGAATAGAATTCAATTGGTTAAGAATAGCGTTTATAGCCTCTATGGGATTCTCCTCGCCCTTCGAGTCCAAGTTCTCGCTGACCTCCAGCTTTAGGTTCATATCTTGCAAAGTCTGCGCGTAATTTCTCAAGGCGGTGATTTGCTTATAGATATTGACGGAATCTAATCGAGAATCGTGCAACCTCGCCCGCAACGTCTTCTCGATTTTTGATTGATCCTCGAGCCGTTTCGCGAGATCACGTTTCTCTTGTTCCGCGCTGAGCAGCACATCCTTTACCTTCTCCTCGCTCTCCATGAGCTTGTTGGTGGTCTCCTGGAGCTTCTTCTGCGCTTCCGCATATTTCGCGCTGAGCTCCTGAAGCTCCGTTTGGGTGTACTTGGCTACGTTATGCAAACTTTGACATTCTTCCTCCGTTTCGTTCAAACGTCCCTCCAATTGCACAAGTCTCTGCGTGACCTCCAGTTTCTCCTGCAAAACTTTCTGTAACGCTTCCTTGGCGGCGTTCTGATATTGCGCCTTCTCATCCTGAAGCTTGGCAAGTTCGTTTCTGATTTTGTCCTCGGTATAGTTCTTGGAATACACCGTCAGTTGACTCTCAACGGTCATTACCCACGATAGTAGACGATCCTCCGTGATCAATGCCTTCCACGATTGGTTAGCGGCTTTCCGAGTATTCTCCACCAGTTGCTGCAAATAGCCCAGTTTAGAGTACAAGGCTTTCTCTCGTCTCGACGCCTCCTGCATTATCTGATTAAGCTTGTAAAGATCCTCGAGGGAGACGTTTCCAGCGGGTGAACTGACGGAGGTACTGAGACTGGCCTTGGCTTCCTTCCCGTCCGGCAGGTACAGCTTCAAGGTCGCGACTATACACCCATGGGTGACCTTCTTGGTATTTTCCACAACGTCCACGCCAAATTGCACTATATCCCCGGAGCATACCTCCTTGGGCGTTGACTCCAACCCGGAAGCGCTGAGTCTCTGATTATTCACGAACGTACCGTTGCTGCTGCACGTGTCCTGCAAGTAAAACTTACCGGAGGAGTACCATAGCAGCGCGTGATTTCTCGACAACACTTTGCAATCGAAAATCGCGTTATTCGTCGCGGCTCTCGCCCTGGCCACCGAACGACCAATTTTGACCGGTTGCTCCAACGTCAACGTACGCTCCTGGAAGGGATGGGAATTGTCCCGGCAGATCAGAACGCCTTTCGCGGTCATCTTGTTGTTGTTGTTGGTGGTGGCGATGGTATTGGTGTTGGTGTTGTTGTTATTGTTGTTGTTGTTGTTGTTGTTGCTGTTGTTGTTCTGCGTATTGTTCTGGTTCAAGTTGGAGTTGTTCTGCCCAGCGGGCGAACTGGCATTTTGTACCCAACCACCGCTGCTAGCTACAACCATAGCCGAGATGGATGGTAAGCCGAGCGAATTCGAGGAAGAGTCCTTTCACGAATGTAAATCGAATCGTTGTAAATCCCGTCGGAGGAAACAGCGAGAAGAGAATTATCAGCTTCGAGAGCCGTATCGCGTAACCGTAACCGCGACCCCGTGACCGTGACCGTGACGGCTAGATCTTCGGCTAGTGCTTCGCACGTCAAACGTGTCGAATATATGAGCGCGCTCCTCAAGCTCGGTCACGAGGATCCCGACGTGACCTTTCGGAATCTGTCGCCTGACACGACGAGACGTGACGACATCGTGTCCGGCATGTTTTCGTCCTCAATGAAATATCACTGCACCCGTGCACCGGCCGTCACTCTTCCGCAGCACTCCTCCCTTATTTTCGTCGAGAAATTCTCTCTCGCCCCCGCTCTCTTCCTACTCTCTCCCACTCTCTCTCTCTCTTCCTCCTTCGTTCGATCAGCGAATGTCTCCGGACTCGAGCACGGAACTCAGCGGAAGTCCGGTCCCGTTTGGCAGACGGCCACGCATCGACCGATTCGAGGCGAGGCGAGTCGATCTCCCAGGATCGAAATCGGGTCAGCGAAACACGCGGGACGTCTCCGACGACGTCGTCCAGCTCCCGTGCAGGCGTGAACGCTGCGAACACGCTCGGCCGAACGTGGGTTACGCTCTCTCTCGCGCGCGCTCGCGCGATGTCGTCCGCGCCAGCCTGACACGCGTCGGACACGCGGCGTCGGCGACCGGAGATGAATCGGCGACGGCACTACCGCGGACTTTCGCGTACCAACGAAAAATATTGCGCACGTACGGACGACGTATGGGACTCCGTGAAAATACAATGGTTCGCCGTTCCCCGCGTCCGGACTCCGGAGTGCCAGCCGTGTTCCAGTTCCGCGTTCCGCGTTCCACCGTTTCCTCCCCACGTTAGTCATGCGGGTGGGGAAGAGGGGCGCGTGGCGCGGAATACCTACATTACCTACCAATACCAACCTACCTTGCTTACCTAGCGCGTCAAGGTATACATACATGTTATAATACATATTTACATATACGCCTCTCTCGCAGGGTCCGGGAGTCGGGAGAAAAGATAAAAGACAAATCCGATTATAAGTATACGTAGATAATAATAACATCTTTCTCATTCGAATCGACCTTTCCAACACGGCCTTTCTACACGAGAATATAACCTCTCAAGTACGAGCAAGCATAACCTAAAAGGACAAAAAAGTGCGCGTTGAACATTGCATCTCGCAAAATTGATTATTAATCTCCTTGAAGAAGGCTAAGAAGCGAGTATAAATCATCGGAAGCTTGAATCATCGCGAGAGAATCTCTGAGGTATTACATTTGTAAATTAGATCATTTTCACATTTTGTCGTCATCGTGTACATCTTGTGACAAAATCTATTATTCTGTTTCCAGTGCTTCACGAAATACTTTCCTATAACGTATTAAGTATAAACAATTCATTTCATTCCGAACATCCGAACGATGTCAGACGATGAGGATTACATGTCCGATAAATTTCTACAAGATTCCGAACAACGTGCCTCGTCGAGTCTTATATACAGACATTCTGATAGGAGAGAATTTACATTGATGAAGAAAAAGGCTGAAATTGAGTCTAGGATGAAGGAACGCAACAAGTCGATGCGAGTAGTCGAAGCGGAAAAAAGGGAGGAAGGCTTGTCATCTGCCATTACCAGCGCAAATAAAGGTCTGTACTTAATCTACATAGATTATATAGAATGCAGATAAATTTCTGATGGGCTAAGAATGGCAAAAAAGTGCTAATTTTAATTGCGAGAAATTATTTCAAGATTTACCTTGTTCCCAGGTTTTGAAATGCTAATGAAGATGGGATATAAACCTGGTCAAGGAATAGGCAAGACTCAATCGGGAATGACTGAACCAATTCCTGTAGAAGTGAAGGCGGATAGGCAAGGTCTGGGAAAAATGCTAAAGAAAAAGAATTTGTACAAGCATGAGAACACAAATGCAAAATTAGATAACATGGATACCAGAGATTTCCGTAACAGGATAGCCCAAGAGAAGGCGGAACAGTTGCAAAAGATCGATTTGTACAAAAGTCAGAAGGTTTGCCAAGAATTAGATGCTAAAGAAAATATCGAGGAACCTGAAGAATCGTGGTTTTGGCTAGAGAGCAAGGAAGAAAAAGAAACTGACGACACTAACGACGATGACGATGACGAGGACGACGATGATGACGACGACGACACCAAGAACGACGAAACACTCAGCCATTTAGAAAAACTCGATATTCTTACTAGATATTTAAGAAAGAAATACTTTTACTGCATCTGGTGCGGAACCAAGTTCAACGACGAAGACGATTTAAGAGATAATTGCCCGGGAAGTATGAGAAACGACCATTGAATATGTTAAATGTATATATTATCGATAACATTATCTTTACGCTACGTTAGAAAACTGATATCAATAAATTTTGGACGTCATTAAAAATATTCTCTATTCTTGTCGAGCGTGTACATTAGAACACGATATAATACACGAACCTTAGGTAAAATTACATTACTTAAATACATGATCAATCCCATTGTGTACACGAGACATAAAAGACCCATTAGCGGGTATGATGCAAAACATGGAAAAAGTCATGTTCCGGAGAAGAAAAAATCGAGCACTGAGCAACTCTAAGAGCAACTCTAAGGAGAGTCGTTATTCCTCACCCTCACGACCGAACTATGCTATTAAGGCAGCAGGGGATCGCTATGACCCCTGGCTTTTACACGCGATGGAAAAGAGAGTGAGAAATTACCTATAAAATATAAAGCATCTTGTTTGACTCTCTCTTCTTTCATTTTATCCGAAAACTTGTACGGTGACTGTTTGTTAAATATTTCGATAAAAACGAGTAACGATACTATAATGTTGGTAACCCCCAAGTCATTGCTAATCCTCGTGGTTTATGTTACAACAATCAGCGATGCTGAAATAACCGAGGTAGATGACGAAAGCTGCGAGACTCTACAGTCGGAAGTACGCATTACCAAAGACGAATACGACGAGATAGGACGTCTGAGAAGAACGTGTAGCGGTGATATATCGGTCACCAAATGTGAAGGATTCTGTAACTCGCAAGTGCAGCCAAGCGTTGTCACTACTACGGGCTTCTCGAAGGTAAGTCGATGTGATACCTCGTGCAAAGGAAGATATCTATAAGATATATTGCCTGTAAGTTGTAATTATCTTTTTTTTGTTTTATATATAACAGGAGTGCTACTGTTGCCGTGAGAGTTATCTGAAAGAAAGATTTGTCATCTTAAATCAATGCTACGACGCGGATGGAATTAAATTGATAGGCATGGATGACGAGACGATGGAGATCAAGATACGAGAACCCGCCGAATGTAAATGCATTAAGTGCGGCGATCTCGCGAGATAAGAGCAACAACGACTTGAAATGTAATCTGTATATTCTCTCAGTGCACAGTGAAATCGCAACAATTATATATGACAGTTATTATATCTGTATGATAGATAAATGAAAATAAATGAAAATATATTATATGTAATGACGAAAAATAAATAGTATTTCTAATGTATTTACAATATAACCTCTCTCCCCCCTATTTATAGCCCCGATCTCTCTCTCTCTCTCTCTCTCTCTCTCTCATTGCGCGCATTTTTATAATACTTGTGACGATAAATGCAAAATTTCACAAAAGTTAATTTTCTTTAAAGACAATCGTACAGAACATATATGTGTATAATTCAATCTTGCATATCGTTACAGATAAATATAAATCATTTAAATAAAAATTTGATATTTGATATAAATATTGATATTAATTCTGACTTTTCTTTTAACGAAAATGTTGGCGCACAAATAGTTAGCAAATTTTGAGAGATTAAAATCTTGGAACTTTGACTTGATTCTATACATAATATAAGAGGAAGCTTTATTGAATCGTACACATGTATGTGTGAGTGCAATGAAGAATATTTCCTACGATGTATTTCGTAGTTTGTCATCTATATATTATTACTTAAAACAACAAGATGTTAGAAACGTTTCTTCTCAGCAAATTTAATCCTACAAACTTTAAAATTGTAATTATCGAAATTTTTAATATTTTTGGATACTTATTGTTAGTCCTAAATCAAAATGCTGTTACGATAAAATTTAATAGAAATGCACTTGGAAAGAATTAAGATATAATGGTCTATTGTTGTTTATTTAAACCAAATATATATATATAAAAGTGTCGTTTCTGTCATTTATAAATCGATTCTTATTGAATATTTTTAGTAAGCTTAATTCTTAAACTGTGTGAAGAAAATTGTGCAAATATTTTGTCATAAATAAATAAAATCATCTTGGCCACATATTTACAATGTTTTATAGAGATAACGACACATATTAAGAATATGTTTGGTGTATATACCTAGACATATTATAATTTCTAAATAGAATCATGAATAAACTTTTATGTTATTTAACAAGAAAAATCTAGCACTATTGTATATAAATTTAGCAAACATGTCAGGAAGAATTTTCTTATGTATGTCTATATATATATATACACACACACACGTGTGTGTGTGTAGTGATTTTGATACATAGCGATACTGCTGAAATATAACCGAAGAAAGGGAAAAATACGGCCACCTGCGGTGTATAAAAGCTTACGACGTAGGACTTACAAGCGCAGTAAAGTGCTAGGAAGGGAAGGCAATGTACCGTTCGAGAGACAAGCTCTTCCGTTACTTTGGTAAATAAGCTAGCGCGTCTAACAGTACGTTTGCAAAATTTAAGTAATTTCCTCAGTCGTCTTTCTTGCAAGTTGTAGAATATTTTTTGCAAATTGTATGTAAAACAGATGTTAAGTATTAATGTACTTACCGTGGACAGTGATCAATGGATGGCTGATATGCTTGTTGTACGGTGGCACAGAAGCGATCGTTGGGGTCGACGAGTGTCAGGCAACGCGCGTGATACACTTCCTTCAGTATCCAGGTTGTGTTCCAAAACCGATTCCCAGTTATGCGTGTAGAGGACGATGTAGCAGTTATCTGCAGGTAAGAAAGGCCTGTTATACGTTAGTGACAATCTTGCGATGTATGCAGTATGCGCGAAGCGTGCAATCTATCTCAACTGATAGTTTTACAATTTTACAATCTTAAAGGCAATAACAATGTGATGCATATGGGCAAGAGTTGTACGTTTTCAAGTGGGGCACATGAAAATTTCTTAGGAATAGTTAATGTGGTATCGTGGTACCGTGGTACTTAATACTCACGAGGCATGTTGAAACATAATATCTTGCATAAACGATTCTGAAACTACACATAGGCGCATTCTCTAAATCTTATTGTTAGCCCTACGAGCGGGGGAGTCTCGTACGTTCCATATAGCCAAGTAAGCCAAGTATATACGCGCATGAAGCAAGAACACTTAAGAAACACGAATGTGAGTCGCGACCGATTTGATACCGTAAAATCGCAAGTATTACGTCTGACGTTTGACAGATCCAATCTTTTTTTCCCTCTCTCTCTCTCTCATACACACACACACACACGCGCACGAACACTGTTTAACGCAACGAGAGAGAACTGAGAGCTGAGCGCGCATGAGACATGAGACATGAGAAGACACATACATACATATGAGAAACGTTCGGCTTGTTAACATGCACAGGTGTCCGGGTCCAAGATGTGGCAAATGGAGAGGAGCTGCATGTGCTGTCAGGAAAGCGGCGAGAGAGAGGCTAGTGTCTCTCTGTTCTGTCCGCGGGCGAAACCAGGGGAGATGAAGTTCAGGAAGGTGAGACGTGAGATGTGAGACCGCTGATCGCCCAGTCGCCCATGGACGCGGCAGTCGGCACGGTTGACGCGGTTGACGCGATCGTTAGCCGGTCGTAAACAGACTCGCGTGAACGCGAACGCGATTCATGCGATCAGACGCGATCGCGCGCCGTTGACTGTTCACTGTTCACTCGCTTCTCGCTTCTCGCTTTCTCTCACCGATCACGCGTCGACGAGATCCGTAACAAAAACAAAGCCCGAAGCCGTTCGACGTTCGACAGTCGACACCGCAGTCCGCACCACGAGTTTTTCCGTTCTCGCGCGGCCATATTGTTTTCGTGCGCGGCCAATCGGCGTCCGGGTCCGGCCGTAGTCCCCAGTAGTCCCGTAGTGCGCCGCGTAACTAGCAGGGGCGCCTAATTTCAAAATTTCAAAAGCTTTATTGCAATCGACTTTTGCCGTTTGCGTTAATTTTACCTGTATCTGTTCATCAGGTTATCACCAAGGCGCCGTTGGAATGCATGTGCAGACCGTGCACCAGCGTGGAAGAGTACGCGATAATACCCCAGGAGATCGCGGGATTCGCCGACGAGGGCCCTTTTGCGACGTCCGCGCACTTCAGACGGTCCTCTGGCTTGCGATAGACAGCCGCACGAGGCACGCGGAAAATCGCGCCCACCATAACGGCGCGATTTATTTTATTTTATTCCCTATTATATATTATAACTAATAAAAAGAATGTCTAACGAACATGTGTCGATTTTTCTCGATCGCGGACGAGATATGCGAGCGAGGCTGCAGCAGATTTATAAACGCGCACGATATACACGTTACGTGTGCGTGCAAGTCTCTTCCCTATCCCTTTTCTCATCCCTCTCGCGGAATTGTAGATGCTCCTTTGCTGAGAAAAAAGTCTCATTATTTCTCGTCACGAATATTCAATGTCGTTTTCTTGGAAAACCAAATTACGAATCCTGAATTCTTCAGCTTGCCTAAAGAAAGTGCGTGTGCAATAAACTTGGAGAAAACTCGTTGCGGAAAGAGGCAAAAAAGAAGAAGAAATGATATGATAAAGAAGGTTCAGGAAGGGATACGCGTAGAATAGGAAACGCAAGAGATAACACCGAGCACTCGTGACTCGTATGTCCGAGGCTGAGAAGAAATTATGAAACATTGCACACAGACTCTGTTAATATACTTAAATAATAATATATATATTTACATACAATATATAGGTATGCTTCATGTAATTTGAATCAAGTCTGTAATCGATTCGTCCGTGTGTGTCTCGTATTTCGAAAATGGTCGATCGAAGGTTCTGACAGATGACGCGCCTTCTTTTAGAAGACCAAAGCAAAGACTCGATATACTTTTGCAAAAGTATATCCGACAAGTCCGTACGTCTATTTCCGTATTCTCGCGAAAACAGTTCGCAATTTCCCAAGGGTGGATACCTTTACAGGTACGATAAATCGTGTGGTATCGGCACTTAACGATAGTTGCCGGTTAAACATAATATTTTTTGATAGCTGTACACGCACACATGCACACAGAAAATCAGTCTCTCCTATACGAGCACGTTCGAAACAAAGGCGAGCTCAACGCTGTACCTCAAATCAGTTTAATAACAATTTTATACAATTCGCTACAGCATTAGCCACGTAGACACATTCCAATGTTCCCACGCGCCGCGCTCTGCTCTCTCACTCTCTCTCTCTCTCTCTCTTACTTCTTGTGATTATAAATAGCTAGTGTTAAAAAATAGTACCTTAATATGTATATGTGTGTGTATATATATATGTATATGTGTGCATGTATATATATATATACATATATCATATATATAGATATATATGCACACCATTTGTAATCTTTCATTTTCTAACTTCAACGTGTTCTAGATTACAGATCCTAACTCCGCAATATATATCCTTCACTTTCGCTCTATCTCATCATGTTTCACGCGAGTGTCCTTTCTTATAATATAATACATTATAAGTTCTTATTTGCAAATATATAAATTAGTAAAGTATTCCGTTACAATAATAGGAAGAACCATATCGCTGTCAGTATCAGACTTGGTTTTATCTCGGTATCAAATTTTCCTTTTCCTTACTTTCTGAATTTCTTTTATCCCACTTAAAATTGACCTACTCTCAGGTTGCATATTCCGATCTGCGATTTATCTAAATCTTGTAACAAGCACTTCGGTTTGTGACCCGTGATATTAGCGTTAACATAATTGGAAGTAACGTTGAATCCTGCCGATTCCAAGCATGGAAAAAAGACGCATATTCCGGTTCTATTGAGCGATCGACCTATCTCGCTGCAGACATTTTACATAAGAAACACGATAATTATTTTTCGAGCCACTTTTTTTTTGCTTTATTTAAACTTTGAACCATTTTATTGAATTATATATAATAATTATTTTGCATAGTTTTGTAATAATTAATAGTTAAACTTTATCTTCATTATGTATACTGTATTTCAAATACAGCTGTCGTTTGTTTATTTAGTCAGCACTCTCACTTCTCTTTACTCATTGGTAAAAAGTCGATGGAGTTATAGATTATATTACATACATTTACGTGTCACTTCATTGTTATTTATCGTACCGTTCTTTCCTTCAATACTTGGGAGCGTTCCTGCGTTTTTATTTTTTTTACGAAAAAAAAAAAAAAAAAACCAACTGCAATTTGATTTCGGGACGTTGTATTTTCCTTTCAACGGGGAAACGCGTATTTGAGTCTTTTTAATAGACGATAATGCAATCGATCACAGTATCGTCAACAGCCCTGATTCGCACTAGTTGACAATTCCTCGACACTGGAATTATCGTCCGGTTCTTGCAGATCGGTGAAAAACGACGTAAGTGCGACGACTGAGACGCTATGGCCTTCGACATCAGGTCCTTCCGGAACTTTCTGTTTCCACGTCAAGAACGCGTCGCTTGATATCACATTGTCCATCCATAATCGGTTCATAATGGGAACGAGGGTACCTACAACCAAGCAAGACTCGTAAATTTCGCACGCTTCATATTCTTACATCCATAAACTAAGAATAATATAAAGGTGTACGTGTACTTTTTTTTTTAATAAAAAAAGTTAAAAAATAAGACAGAACGCATCGATATTTACGTGCAATAATAAATTTAAACATTTTCAATTTGCACTTACCAGGTGGAAACTCGATCTTTTTGATGTATCTTTGAATTGCATAAAGACATTGCAATTCCAATAAATCGTTCGCGTCGGCATACCGTTGAATCAAAGTTTGCAGATTAGCAAAAGTATCTAGATTTAGCTTCCAAGTGCCATGATGTCGTTCTACGCATACAGAGAGAGAAAAACACAACTTAGAATATTAATGTAAAAAATTCTCAAGTATTTTGTTTCCACAAGTCACGTCAGTATCCTTTTGGCTTGACAACACAAAAATAGTCCATAATATGTATCTTTACTCTATATAAAATGTTATCATCATGCTCATTCTATCACAAAATCATTCCATCGGAAAAATAATAATTTATAAATATTTTGAAAATAGCGTGCTACGATACATACCTAACGTGGTTTCTAAGATGGCAGTCATTAAGTGTCTTATAAACTGGGGATCCTTCTCTCTACTACCAACATTTGCCTGAAACAATAAAGCTAATTGTGAAAAAACTCGATATAAATAGTAGCTATACAAAAAACACATGTCAATTATGCTACACTTACAGTTATCCAACTGCAAATTTCGTCGAAGGAAGTATTTTCTTTCATAAGCCTTGTAAGATTTTCCTGAATTTTCTCAAACGAGAGTTGCTCGGTAGCAGCGGAGTCTTTGGCACTATTATAATCACCAGTTAAAAACTCCAAATTCTAAAAATAAAAACAACAGAACTAATAAGATCGTGTGCAGGTAAGACTGACATTATTGTCTTGGTTACTTCCAGAACAAGATCTGAATATAGAGCAGAAGAGACAATAGTGAAATAATTTGAGAGAAGGAAAAGGGAAGATGTAACAAGATTTAAAAACGAAGAGCAGCTAATTGTTCCAATCGTGAAAAAGAAGTATACGTGCCAAATTATAGTAATATTGTAATGTTCTTTTCATGTAAATCTCAAAAAATTACACCGCGATAGAAAGGGTAAGAGAGAAAAGAGAGGGGAAATGGAGAGAATTATTACACATTGGAAAATTTTCCTTTCTTTCACAAACGCAGCAAAAAATTTTGTACATTCTCTATCGGAAGTTCAGTCAATGCAGTCAGTCAATGTTTTCATTCGATTTAATTGATAGTACTTTACTCTTGCATCGCGCCAGCAAGATTCTGTCGACAGAACGTAAGTTTTATGTAGACACAAATTGTTGCTGATTTACAACAATTTCTAATTGAATTTATTTGTCATTTACTTTAAATCAAAATGACGAAAATAATTTCAAGTTGCTACGCAAATTGATTGGAGTGGCAAAGATGAAAATCGAACCCGAGTCTTTCGTCTGTCTGTTCTATACCTTTAAGCTATCCAGTTTTTATAAATAATTGCGAACAATAACGCGAACAAGTCGAGATAAATGTGACAGAATGATTAAACTGGCACTGTTCTACGAAGGAAAAAAGACAAATAGGGGAGAGAAATTGATATAATATACGATCATCGAGGAGTACTTACGTATTCCTGAATAATTTTATCGACATTCTCTCGTTCCGGATCGATTAAGTTACTCAGTTGAAGTCCACTTTGGTCCCATTTATCGGCAAGCCATTTAGGCCCTTTGTTACGAGATACTTTTGTCATAAGTTCTCCAAGGAATTTGCCTACAAAGCCTTGTCTTCTCAAACTTATACATATACTCTTGAATTCGGATAATAAGATAGCTCCGTCCTCTATCGAATGTGCTGCAACATAGATGGTCACGCATGTAAATCGATTTCAGATTAGAGTAGGGCGGATAAATTATTACATATTTTTTCAGGCCTGTTGAGCTATAGCACCCGCACGGCATTTTTCTATGGCGTAAAATGTAATCGTCATCATAAGAGAGAAATCTTTATCTTTATCTTATCTCATCTCGCGGTTAACCCGCGGCAAAAAGATACGCATGTATTACTTACACAGTATTTCGGCTAAGTAAGTCCAAATTTTCGGTATATCGATAACCAAATCATCTACTATTTCCAGCACTTCTCCCAATCTAAAACAGAATTTCTCCTTGTATTAGCAACAATTTTGATGAAAAAAACTTGGTATTACAAAATTAAATGTATGCAAATAGCGTCAGTATCCTTTTGGCATTAGTAACACAAAGATATTTTTCAAAATACCTTTACTCTGTATCAAGATTTTCATCATCAATTAATATATAAACTATTATTTTGCTATAATTTGCTCTATAAACAAATAAGATAACAAGAATAGGATAACTTACCCATTCTTGAAACACTCCACAGGTAAAATATTTTGTCGAAGTAAATGGGACAAGAGTTTCGAAACCAGTTCTCGTTCGACAGGCGATTTCTCGAGAACATGATTAATACACTCGCGTGTAAGTTTGGCAAATGTTGCATTATCAAATTTCTGTTGAATCTCTAATCCCGTATTCTGCAAATGAAAATAAATATGCGTTAACAATATTGAATTTGTGATGTCCAGAATAGTCGAAAAATAATCTTTAAATAATAAATTATTTATTTATTTATTATTTAAATATGTTGTCCTCCTTTTAGTTAGTGTAAATAGCATGTAGTGCTATCACACGGAACCAAAAAGAAGGTATTGCCTATTATTGCACGCCAATGACTCAAGCATCTCCTATTGAATCAGAGATGGATCTAAGGAGCGTGCGTTGGTTGATAGAAAATATCTCTGTCTCGCCAGAAATTTATATATGTATATATATATATATATATATACACACGTATACATAAACAAAATTTAAACTTTGTAGTATGACGTGTGGCTTTATACGAGAGCGTTCGATTCGTAGTCAGCGGATCTCGGGTTCGATCCCGACCGTCATCTCACATATGCTTCGGTTTATAAAAAGTTGACAAGAATTTGATAATTATGAATAAAACAGCATGAAACAAATTGTAACTCGTTTCGGGAAAGATAAATTGATATCGATATCACTTTAAATTTTAAAGAACTTACTTCAACAATCGGCTCCTCCAGATAGTGTTTCAGTATGGAGTTATAAGCCTTTGTAAATTCTTGCTCCGACATCGGAGCCTTGTGGCTTATAGCCCCAGACTGGGAGGCAGACTTCAATACGGGCGGAAGCATCGACACATTCCTTTGAGAGTTATCCAGCAACGGATGACTCTCCCTGCTCGATGCACTGCCCGACTGATGAGTGCCATTACGAGAGCTCCTACCGTCTGTAAAAACACAAAATCCTTGTTTAAGAAATATTTCTTCAAAGAGGCTGTTTAACGATACGTTATTGGTAATGTAAGTTACATATATCTGTGCTTATAAGAGAACATACCATAAGACTTGTAATCCCGGCTACACTCTCTTGGACCGGTTGATCGTGATCTAAAATAACAGATAAAAATGTATAAGTGGTTGTCGACGTTTCTTTAAATGTTAATGTGAAATTTGTAACATCTCAGAACTCATTTTGAAATCATTTAAGTTTTAGAAGATTCAGAAACTCTAGTCTGTAATTGTGTATCATCATAAATCGTTAAGTACGAAGCAGAGATTAATAAACATCCATGGCAAATGTATGTTACAGAAAAAATATTGCGCTCTTTGTAATGATTCTATAATTGGACATAATAACACGAACCCAAATAATTAACCGGTTTATTCTTTAATCTTGTAAATGTTTGAAAAATAACTGACTTACCCAGAAAGTGGTAAGGGCGGCATCCTCTTGTCCTGGTCTAAATTGGACATATTCTCTAAGCACGCAAATTTGTTGGAACTTATCGTCTTAGAGTTGTTGGCGGGGTTAGTAGCCCTCCATAAATAAGATGCCCTGTTGCCAAGTTGCATGTCGTCCATTGGTGGCTATTAAAAAAGATAATAATCATTTTGTGTAACAAAAAAAGTTTCACTCTTAAAAATGACAACAGATTTATTGTTGCCATTTTTCCATCATGCCTTCATTGTTTCTCTCTCGTTGCTCACTTCGTGTTGTGAGAGTAACTGTCGGCGTAAAAGTCGTATTTTGACAGTTATCTCAAGCGGGGTTATTCCATGAAATTATATTTTTTAATTTAAATTCCACGCGCATGCGCGCATACGCACACATATACAACATGATTTTAATCCTTTCTAAGTTGAACACTGTAACGAATGCATTATGCATGCAGAAAGTATTCTGCCGTCTGTAACGCGCTTCAGTGCTAAAAATTTTTGCAAGAGACCTCAGATACGGTGTGTCATGATTTCCCCACATATCAAATTAGATTCTATCAAATATTAAGAGACTTAATAAAAACACAGTTAAAAACTAAAAAGTAATACTTACTAAATGAGCAATTACATTGTTTATTAGATGTGTTATATTGCTTTCGAAATTGTTCACCGTTAATTTTATTTTACGGACAAATGTGCCAAACACATAAACACGCCCATAGCGTTTGCGGTGTTCCATTTGCTAGACGTATTTAGGGCGCGAAAAAGTCGTTCGTCTGTTCGCGCTCTTACGCGTCTATGACTTTGAAAGGATTAAAATTGATTTCTTGTGTTTTTTTTTTACATAAAGCTCATAATTACAATTAAGAAAAAATTTACACTGAGTAATGTTATATATTTTTTAAAACAACTACGGATGCGCGTTTTGAAATGTACCGACAGTACTGAAAATCTATAATAGTATGTACACAAGACTAGAGATTTTGCGACAGTACGTTTCGAAACGAATCATATGTTTTGTTTATATCAATCGCTTTATCTTATTATTTTATACATAAAAGTGTCCAGTGCATATACATGTAAAAAAAAAAAGGAAAAAAAAAATAATTCTTATGACTGGACATGATAATATGAACCCAAACTAACCGGTTTATTCTTCAATTTTGCAGTTTCCACCGAATACGTCACGGGTCTCACCCTTCCTACTGGTTGACTCCAACCATCGTCAGTAGGACCACCAAGTCCACGATTTCTTTTCCTATCATTATTACGGTCGTCTTTTCGCGCGGTGTTCAATGGAGCGCTGTTTGCATGCACTTGCATGTCCAGTCTTTCGGATTCCGCTTCTTTTTGAATTTGGTCTATCGTTTTAGGATTGTTATCGTTTCTTCTCGGAATCCATTTATTTGCTCTCAAGTCGATAACATCTTGAAGCATGAAACGAATCCTAGAACTAATTTTGCTGTGGCCTTTTCGTGCAACAATTTCTTGCATTCTATTGAAGTAATCCTGCATCTCCTAAGAATAGAAAGAAATAAGAAATTAATTAAAATAATACATATTACCGCCAAATGAATACTTCCAACACAAACATTTTACACACAATTGGATGCAAATAATAAGAACAGCATTAGTTTTACCTCAGCAGGTCCTTTTAATTCCAAATCTTTGCCAATCGTTGTCAACAGTTTGCACAGACACTCCAGATTATCCTCATCATTCTGTTCTAACAGGTGACGAATACATCGGTGCATGATTTTCGTTGTCAAAATCTGCTGTTTATACAGCTCACCGATGAATCTAAATGAATGAGATATGTTTGAGAAAATTATAGTTTCTTTTTTTGTAAGATTTTTGTATTTTATCGTGCAAAATTGTAAATTATATTGTATCATCTTCATACGGTTGTATAAAGCGATCGAATTGATCTAAACATACTTAAGTACCCAGACAGCACACATGTCCCGATTTTGGACATGTGCTGGGTTTGTAAATATCTTGAGATGCGTTAAAAAAATTGCTCACCTAATATTTCCTACAGATTTAATTCGTATCCTGCGCTCCTCCTCTTCAAGCGCCAACTGAAGTTCTTTCTTTTTCTCCTAATAAGGACAATAAAATGATCAGATACCAAAATAAAATATTCTATTGAAGAAAGATAAAAGTTTGTTTGAAAACAAAATAAAAATATGAATACATCGTGCAAGATGCTTACCGGGTCATTACACTCGTCAATTTCCTTTAGCCTTCGATTTCTCGCAACATCATCAATTGGATTCTTTTCGAATTCTTTTTGGCAACGCGTGATGATAAGCTTCTTGAAGCTAACGGAACTATCTTGAGTATCAGGACCTGCGACTTCCATCATGCCCAGTTCTTTGCACAGCAAGGCATATTCGACAGAGAAGCTGGGTTCGTCAACAGCTTTTTCAAAGACCAAATTAATAACTCCATTCAAGCGTTCTTGCGTATCGATCGGCAAATGTCGGACTTGCTCAACCAACGTGTTGAACTTTTGCGGAGTGAGTTTGTTCAATACACTTCGTACTCTCTTATAGAGGGCTTCCGTTTTCGCTTCCTCTTCAGTAAGACCGAGCTGCTTTAACCTCGTAGGTTTCCAAGCATTTTCTGTTTCTCTCAGTTTCACGTCTTCTCTTAACGATAGTGAAACATGAATAACATTTGGTTTATTCGCTTTTGGTTTACCCCGGTCACTCTTACGACTCGTTGGTGGCTGTAAAACGAGATATATATCTCATCGATATCATGTATCAAAGCTAAGATATTCGATAGAGTTATTTGACACAAAGAATGAAAATTTCAATCAAAAGAAATGTATTATTCGTCAAAAGATTTTCAGATCACTACTTTCTTCGTGCGACATTATGTTTACTTGTCCTTCTCCTTCCATAAGAAAGCAAGATACATATCCCAAGCATTTCACTTAAATTCTACTTACCGGACGTGTACTCATATTTGTCTTTGCAAACCCTGGCATTAACGCATCATGCCTGGGAATGTTCGCATCCTTAAAAGCCCTCAAGTCCATAGTATTATGCGTATTCTATAAAAATCAGACGCAGATGCAAGTAATAAAACATCGTTATTAATAAAGCGGACGATATGTCATGTATGATAAATGACACATGAGACGTAGGTCATACCTGTAAACTATCTTTCAAGACAGCCTGCAAATTTGGTAGATTAGCCGGCTTTAGTTTGCTGTTGGGATCAAATTGTAGACGTAAAAGAAAATCCCGGTCGTAGGACTTCCTACCGGTCACGTTGACCGGGCTCCACTGGCCCTCTTTGTACGAGTACTTGAGTAATGGGGCCTTATTACCGCTAGGTGCGGCAATTTCGGCCGGGGCATTACCGCTGCCACTGGAAACCTCGACTTCTTGCTTCTTCTCCGTAATCACCGATGGGACAGTCGTCGCGTTTTCGTCGTTGGACGCGTGTAGCGCCGACACCTTGAAGTTCTCTTCATTTTTCTGCGCGACCAACGCTTCCAAGTGCATTTCTTCGATGACCGCCGCGTGATCGACGACGTCATTGGGAGATGCGATGGGAAGCGCGTTAAACGCACTGTCCTCGGACTTGATCGAAGATTCCATGCTGGTCGGGGGTTTATCTACAACGTGAGACGCTTGTTGCGCGGGAGCGCTGTCCTTGGACACCTCGGTGGACGCTTGCTTCTCGGTTTTCGCGTGAACGGGCAGAATCTCCTTCTCCTTTTCCTTCTTCGACTCATAATTATCCTTTTCTTTGATATCCTTGCTGATCTCTCTCCCGGGCTCCTTGTTACTGTCTTTCGAGGCGGGAGCGTGCTGCTCCTTGTTGTCTTGCTTAATTTCCACTGTTTTCGCCGCTGATACGGTATTTACAAAGGCATCCATGTCCGTGCCTTCCTTCTCTGCGCCCTTGCGATTGAGTTCGCGGGGTTTCAATTTATTTTTGCTCTTTTGCTTCTGCATAGCTTTACCTGGAGAACGGAAGAGAAAACGACGTTGGTGAGACAATCGAATACGCTGCAATACGAATACGAAAATACGAAAATACGAAAATATGAAAATATAAAAATAGAAGATCGCGGGTACAATTTTTAGGAACGCGTCGCGCAATACATTCGATCAATCGTATCTACTGTACTTATTCATCGATTCTATCGATTACTACGCCAACGCATCCTGTGCTGATCAAAGAACCGAGAGAAAGGAAGCGAAAACCACTCGTCTTTAGGAGCTTTTATTCAACGGGGAACGTTCTCGACGCGTATCGACATACGTGCGTGCCAAGTCGGGCAGTCAGGGGCAGTCAGGGGCGGCGCGTTTCGCGTACCATGATCTCGGGATCCCCGTCGATTACGACTTTTGGATCTCGTGCCGCTTCTGCCACCGCCGCCACCTCCGCCACCGTCGCTCGTTCTTCGATCGCCCATGTTTCACATGTGTCCGCGCGCGCACGTGCAATTCACATCTTTGGATGGCTCGAGTTTCCGATGGCCGTGCGTGTACGTATGCGCACGCGCGCGCCCGCGTGCGGCACTGATTCAGTATTTATTTATAAACCTGCCAAATCCCTGCCAAACGTGGCGTAAATGCGACACGTAAACGCGACGGGGCGCAACAATGACAAGGGGAAGAAGAATCGCATCCTCGACAAGCTTATCGGCGCGACGAGATGACGACTTGGTTGTCGTTATTATCGCCGTCTTGGCACGTGACGCGATCGGCGATTTCGTTCTCGATCGAACACTGCGTCGATCGCGGTGACATCCAGAGGCCGACGACGCCGCGACGCTCGGGAATGAGTCCGTCAACCGTCCAACTCGCGGCCAGGCTTGGAGCTTGGATCTCGATCCGCCGCCGCCGACGACGACGGACGAGATTCGCGCAACTCGTTTTACTCGTTAGTTAACGGCGACCGCCGTCACAAACGATCGTCCCCGACTGAAAGACACTTCGGAAAAGCCTCGGGCCTGGCTAGCCGCGGCGCCCGACGACTTTCACGCATCTATTTTAACCTGTGAACTGGCGCAAACCGACAGGCACGACATAGGATTTCTTAAATTAGGTCCGTTCGGTCGGTTTGCGCGTCGGAGCAGGCGCACGTTCAACGGTTCGACCTAACCCACCTAACTCAAAAGCGCGCTCGCGCTCGCATCCGCACAAAAATATCGCCCGAAAAAATTCCTGCGTCCGCTCGCGCGTGTCGTCCGTTTTGTTTATTCATCGCGATCTCGACGCGTGGATCTATCCTAGCTCTTCGATCGAAATTCGCACGGTGAAACGTCGATTCTTCCCCCGATCGGTGGGAGACCATCCCTGAATCGGCTAATTATTCGACGTGGGCGATATACGTTCACCGTCCTCGGTGCTGATCTCGAATTCGATTCTCGATGTGCGAAAGTAGGTTGGACCGCGACTCCGTCTCTCTCCCTCCCTCTTGCAACAAATGTTAAATCACAGATTCTTTTTAACACGCTCTCTGCCGCATAGAGTGAATACTTACGCCCCATGATAAACTTTCCGTTCAGGCCGTTTGATATTTTCGATCCTACATGCATTATCACAAAATGTTTTACGAAAAAGCACATATTGATATTTGAATATGTATAGTACAGTTTGTAAAATCTTGTTTTTCAATAGTAAATTTATTTTTATAAATATTGTACGAGGTGTTATAAATAAACCTGTTAGGCTCGACAATGTGGGGGGCGCATGCCGTGGGCTACCCACGCGGCTTGAACGGAAAGTTCCCGAAAACTCTATTCAACAAAAAAATGCGTAAGAGCGAAGCACGGCGTTTCCAACTTAAATCGCAAATTTTGGTTCGGGATCGTAGTCAGCGCTTATAAAAATTTACGGGACGATTATTCTCGTTTTTGTGCTCGAAAGTTTTTGGTTCATTTTTTGTTCAACAGTGAAATCGGGCCAGTAAAGAACATATTAAACGCGTGGAACTTGTTATCTTTCCTCTTCAAAACGTTATGTTAAAATTGCTCACCGAGTGCGCAAACTGAGGGAGTAGCATCCCAGAGTGTCTAATAAATAACGATTCATTTATTATTCGTTCCCTCTCTCTCTCTCTCTCCCTTCCTTCCTTCCTTCCTCTCGAACCCAGCGAAGGGGATTCGATCCTTTCGACGCGACGCGAAATGAAAATCGCGAGACGGCGAGAATCGCGTCTCCGAAAACGCGGTGACGCGATGACGCGATGACGCGATGACGCGCGACCACGGATTTCGAGAGAGAGACGATATAATTAGATGGCTCCGAGAGATCGCGGAGGGAGTCGTGCGCGCGCGCGAGAATAATCACTGTCGGACATCGACGAAGCTCAAAGAGCATCGCGCCTGACGATGGAAAAAATATTTGGCGCGCCAATATACCCCGTCTACTCCGATACGTTTATCGCGCGCCATTTCCAACGAGGTTGCTAAAAGCCACATTTTTTCCCTCTCGAGCACGACGAGATGTCACGTCTCTTTTTTGGTTTAAAACAAATTTGTTGCATCTTCCAAATGTTAAAAAAATACACATTTGAAACGTGACCTAAGCATCCCATCCGATTTTATCCGTGAATGTTTAAATCGCAACGATCTCGAGTTTGAAAGACGCTCACGTCCCGTTGTTAATACTTTTCGTTATAAAATGTCATAACGATACCTCCTCCCCCTTTCTTCGCGGTACGGTAAATAAGACGTCACGTCAGCGTCTCTTTATATAGTTTATACTATCCAGCCACGGACGATACGAATCGGACGGAAGTTTGCCTTGTGTTTCGAGTCTCGAGTCTCGAGTTTCGATGTGCGTTACGCGCGCACATTTTCCTTCGGATCGAGGGATCTCTGGTTCGGCGTTTTCCGAGGTTACGCGCGCCGACTTTTCTCAAGCCGCGAAAGACTTTCACCCGATCGCCGAATGACGAGCAACGGCGGCTGGGCGGCTCAAGGTTGCCCCGCCAAAAGTCTCGTCGTAAAATTTTTTTTCTTTTCGGCGCACCCGCGCGCTGCGTGCTCTTGTGAAATGGCGTTAGGCGAGGACGCCCGCGGCCCGACACACACGCACGCGCCCGCCTTACCATACCACACGTGGCGCGCGGTCGTGACTCGTGACCAGTGACCCCGGCTGTCGGGGGGCCCTCTCTTCCCGGATCGAGAGCGTGCCCGATATCGGCGACGATACACGCGATCACGCGATACATCGTGCGTCGCCCGGGTCGTTTCGAGAAGAACGGAGTACGGAAACTCAGCCGGGACGACTTTTAACGCGACGCGACGCGACGCGACGCGACGTTTCTGCGATCATTTCAAGCTCCTCGATATGGATCATCAACTACTCTCCTACTCGCAAACGATTTAAAACCATTATCTCGATACGATATTCGTAACAACATAAGGAAGAATCTTGATGTTTTATTATCGACGAGCTGAAGGTCGATTTGCGCGCACACGACATCTCGGCACACGACTACACGACAGTACGAGGGACTTTGAATTCGTAAACACTCGACGACTCCGATGATCGAACGAAAGAATGGTTTTGCGAAGGTCGATCTATCGAGGACGAACGACGAACGTCGGCGCGCGGACCAATATGGTGCTGCGTTCTCTTTCGATCATTTCACAAAATGGCCACGCGCCACCGCGTGCACGGCGCAATCGCGCGACGTCTTCCAGACATCGTTCCAGTCGTTCCAGATGCGAGATGCCGCGCGAGATTGTTGATCGCGCGGACGTGGATTATTCGGCAATCGGGAACGAGATGCGACCAAACGAGCCGTGCGTTCTTGCGAAAGAGCATATTCGGAAGAACGTGTCCACCACGTGGTGGAAAAAGAAAAGCCTCGGGGCGTCGAGTATGTCGCGACGTCGCGACATGTGCGCAAAAATCGGGAACGTGCGACAAACGCGCGATATCTAATTTTTCGAGATAACGCGACGAGGAAGGAAGGCAAGGAAAATCGGAGCGAGATATCCCCCAGAACTCCCGGCGAGGAGCTACTCGACGGCGACAGATTTAGGTGGCCATATTGAGCGGTCGCCTTCCTCCGCACGATTCCGCGGCGCCCCTGAATACGCCCCTGAACGCGCGATATAAGGCGCGATATTATCGTCTAAAAGCGAGACTCCGACAACGTATGGTTCGCGCATTGCATACCATTTACAAATCTAATGAAACAAATAAGATAAGTAAGCGGACGCGCCGCGCCGCGCCGCGCCTTTCGTCTCCTCTCCTCTCGTCTCCCGCCTAGTTACAAGCCTCGCCTCGCCTCGCCACGCCACGCCGACCACAAGATGTCGGAAACCACGTTGTCACCAAGGTACCGACATCTTCGATCACGTTGCCGAAAGGTGCGACGGGAGATATCGAGAAAGAGAGAGCGAAAAGAAGTGAAATTTCGTGTACGTACATCTCTCGACGTAGGGTCTCTCCTCTCTCTCTCTCTGGTCCTTTCACGCTCCGCTTCGCACGCTCTGCTTTTCGCCACTTCACTGTCTCGCGTTTTCGAACACGCGTTTTCGACACGAGCTTTTCGCTAGGCCGAAATTCATTCCTCGGAACCAACGAGGAGGAACGAGGCCAACTCCGAACTCTCGGATGGATGTACAGAGGTGGGAAAAGGATTCGAGTAAAAACGACGCGTGTATAGGGCGCTCGTCAGAATTCGATAAAAAAAAAATATATATATATATATATGTACAATTATCGCGAAGGTCGCTGCAGTTACGTTGCAATGTACAGACTGTAAAACACAGCGCGGAGAAACGGTATATAATAAGCGTATTCGTTGCCTGAGCGGTAAAGCGATGCGTAAAGTACGCGCGCGAGTTGTGGGAGATAAAGGAAAAGGAAAGAAAAGCGCCGGAATTCAAAGTTCGGAGGCGAGGCGAATCGAATCGATCTTCGAAGGGTCGTTTCTCGAGGATGGGATAAAACGTACTTTTTTTTTGCTTAAAAAAGATAAAAGAAGGTAAAATAAAATAAAAAGGAAGGGACAGAATTGGGAGAAGAGAGCGGTGTAAAATGCGACCGGCTAGCGCAGCACGTGCTGGCTACTGAAGGCCGTCCGGTCCGGTCTCCGGTCCGGTCCCCTCGACGACGATGGAGGATTTCCTCCCTTCCTCCTCCTTCCTTCTCCCGTTCTTTCGTTCCAGCGTTCAGCGTTCCAGCGCCGGTTCACCGGTTAATCCCGCTTCGTTCATCATCGCGCCCCGTCGGCCATTTTCGCGCAATCGCGTCACCGTCCGCCTTAGTCCCGACTCGACTCCGATTGACTCCGATTCGCTTCACCTCACCTCACCTCACCTCACCACGCCACGACTCGCCTCTCCGTCTCCGGTTCGCCAAGAGATACCTGCCTAACCACGCGATCGTATCGTAACGCAGAAAATAGACGAGAAAACCGCGGGACCTTCGTCGTCCGCAACGGTCATCGAAAGAATTCCGATTGTTTAGACGCGAGACGCCAATGATGATTTTTCAAAGCAAAGTAGGACAGAGGAAAGAAAAAAAAATAAGGGCAAGCGGATTGATCCGAGTATACTTCCCGCGAAAAATATCAAGTTAGGTAGCTGTCGCAAATTGACGATAGATCAATTATCCCTTCGATAGAGAACGTCGTCGCGTTTCCATATTTCGTGTTGCGGCGCCGGCGGCTCGATCGCTATTTGCCTCTTAAATAATCAACTTTTCTCGAAGGACGAATCCAGAACTTTCGCAGAACTTGATTGTGTGTACGCGAGACAAACGAGATAAATATAAGAATCGCTGTATCTTACCCTTTTTCATTTTGCGACTCTCGTTACAAGCTGGAGTAGAATGTCGATGTTCGAAATTCGAATAGGAACCAACTTTACGTATAAACAAATGCCACTAGACAAATATATCACACTGAAGTCACGTGACACTGAAAATCAACGATGCTTCGGATCTTTCGGACAACGGAACTATCGCGACACTTTGAATTTTTTTCAAGATTAAATAAAGATCCACTATAGAGTTCAATTTAATTTTTAAATAAACAATTACACAAAGGACGAGACATCTAAAATAGTCGGCTAACGTAGTGAAAACCGCGTTGCGTTTTTGTTCGAACGATCCGCGGTTTAAAAAAAAACCAACATTCCATTATTTCTTCGCAACTCTCGCATTGATCTCGACGTTCGCGTCGCTCGTTATTAGAGAGACGCGTGATATAAAAATGCCCGGATATATCGAAACGACTGCACTTCGCAGAACCCCGACGCGAGACACGAGACTCCGATTCTCCTCGTGGCTTTTAGGTTAGACCAAGTTAGGTTAGGTTACGTTGAGTTTTGGAGGGTGCCCTCTTCAGTGCAAGTGCTGAGATTCACGGCGACGCCGACGCCGACGGCGACGGCGACGGCGACGCCGAGTTTTGTAACGGCACGTGCGCGCGTGCGCGCGCGCTGACGCGCGGGAACATTTCGCGGTAGGTATCTTCCAGGCAAAACGTGTTCCGAAATGTATTGACGAGATCTTAGGAATCTTAGGGATTTTGTTGGCCATCTTCCTATCTAGATTTATTACAAAGAACGACGAGATCCTGACGACTGAGAATCGTCTGTCAACGTCAATTTAACGTTTATCGGCATTCACGATATTTACGCGATCAACTTCTTTTTTTTTCCCCCAGGATATTCCATATTAACATCAGATAACAAGACGTCAAAACGTAGGCTCTCTCGTTTGAATCGAGCGAACCGAAAATTCATACTTGTCTGAAAAGCGCGGTTAAAACTGCCGACGATCGGTTATCTCGGCGTGATATCGCAAACGCGCGGCGCAAAGTTCAAATGAGCGAAACTAGTAGCGTCTAGTTAAAGTCCTAACAACATTCTCTATTCTCTTGGAAATGCATCGCGTTTCTTACCAACGAATAATAATCGTGCGCTTACTTGTGATCGATAGCGCCAGATATATCTCTCAGACAGATATCGCGCCCCGCGAGTGAATTTCCAGTCGCGAGTAAAAGAGAGAAGGAAAGAGAGAGGACGGTTGACGGTATCTTGGAGTAAACTCGTTCAAGGCTGCGCTCGCATAAGCGTATAACTCGAGATCAAGTCTCGGGATTGACACTGTGTGTGATGGCGAGAGATATGGCGCGCTTTCTTTTTTATCCATCCTCTCTTTGCAAATTTACAAAGCTTATCGATATACTTAATCGTTTCAATTAGGTTTCGTATCTGCTGTATAGCTAGAGATTGCACGCGCCAAGACTTTAAGCAAAACGACTCGATACTCGACGATATTCGATACTCGCTGTTGAAGCGACCCGGCGCGCCCGCGCCGACGCGAAACAATTTCGTTCGGTTGACGATAAAACTTGCTCAGCAAGTGGAAACACTCACCGTCTGACGGTTTCTGCTGTATCTCATTTCTCGGGTGTACCACCTCCGTTTCTGTCTTGTCACCAACTGCGTCACCGTTCGTCTTCTGATGATGGTGATCCACCACCTGATTGTGAACAGGCGTAGGAGTGGCGCCCCGAGAGCCGAGGCTCTTCTCCCGGGTTTTCCTCTCCTTTTGCTCTTTGGTATTCGAAGGCAGCTCGGTGGCGTTCGGTTTCCTCCTCGGCGGCGAGTTTGACGAAGTTTTGGTTAGATTAGGGAATGGCTCCCTAGTAGGAACGGGATTGGCGCTCGAGGCAATGGCGGACGGTTTCGGGATTTCCTGGGTAACGTTACTCCAATACGGAGTAATCGGTGTCTGTACTACATTGGGCGAGGAATTGAGATGTTTGGTGGCTTCGGGTCCAGGTCCGGTTCCAGTTCCGGCTCCGGTTCCGCTTCCAACTACGGCTGTAGCTACAGCGCCAGTAACCCTAGCGGCCTCGGTTTCGGTTTCGGCCGTCACCGTCATCGTTGCCGTTGCCGTTGTTGTCGCCGTCGCCGTCGCCGTCGCCGTCGCCGTCGCTGTCACTGTCGCAGCCGTTGTTTCGATGTTAGGAGTCGACGCGGTAAGCTGTACGGAAACAGTATCTTTATTCGCGGCCACTGATGATACGACGGGTGACGATTCCTCGATCGTCACGCTCTTTATCTCACTCCTCGGCTGAAATTCCTTTACCGGAAGTTGCAACGCTTTCGACTCCGTTTTTGTCGCGTTCGGATCGATTTGCGTCATGTTACTAGATGTACCTAACGATTGACTACTTATCGTAGGCGGTACCGTTTTGCCAGCGCCAGCGCCAGCGCTGACGCCGATATTTTTTGTCATAGGCGGACTATTGCTACACTGACTATTTGCGTCATTAGCGGGATTGGTTTCAATATTCGTTAACGACGTTTGCGCCGTTGTTTGTATCGTGTTAGGCGCCGTTTCGGACGCGCTCGTCGGTACCGTGTCGGATCCCTCGGTCGCGGCCTTCGCGACGCGAGCCGCGAAATCGGCTATCACCTCCGCACCGTTATTCTGTAACAATCACCAAATCTGCGTGATAGACAGTGGCACGTGCTATTCATTCAGGCATTACGCTTGATAACTAAAATTTTGCTCCAAACTCAAATCATAGGGCGAGAGAAATCACAAAACAAAAGCACTTGGACGAACGAAATAAATGTTCAAGACTTTACAAATCTGTCACCCTACAGCCATTGCATCCTCCTCAACTCGTACCGGACAAATTAAAGAAAAAAATAATCGATATCGAGTTACGATACCGAGGTTAAACGCCCTCGCGAGAAAAATTTTTTGTTAAATTCCGAATATTTTCGGAATCACTAATCGATCCATCTTTTCCAATCTTTTTCATTTTGTGCGATCTCAGTACTTACTTAATCTGCTAGAGGACATGGCTCATGTGGGTGTACAGATACACAAGTATTAACAATCGGCTGTGAGAGTCAGTTTCAAATATGTACGTACATAAGATACTCTTGCATTATACAGTTAGCTATTTAGCGAGCACAGACTTGAACGCTAAACTCTCTTAGCCATGTGTCGATATATTTCGATGTAGCTCACCTGTGGTTGTGGCGTTTCGCGATTACTGGATTCACCACTCTGCATAGTTTCATTATCTTTATAAATTTCATCGCTTATATTTTTGCCCGTTAGCGGATTTACTATGTCCAAAATGGCATTCTGTCCTCGAGGTTTCCGAGACCTGGTAGTACTGTTAGTATTTGTCGCACCACCATTATGTCCCGAGAAGACATCTTTAAAAGAATAAGATTACATTTTTCAATTTAGATTACAATTCTGTTTTGCGAAAGAAAATGAAACTCATTAGTTTAAAATATGTTACGTATACGTAACACTCCAACTTGATATTCTTTAGCTCGATCTTTTTGAGTCTTTAAAGAGATAGAATATGAATAACAACGACTAACCAACGTATATAACAAGTAGATTTGAAAGCAACGTACCAGCTTGCGACATAGGTATACCCATCGAAGGCAGAGGTTGGGCTTGTTGAGTAGGTTGCTGAAGCGTACCTTGAGGTACAACTGGAGCACCGGCTTGAGTACTGGCCAGCGGGCCTGGGACATGTTGCGCTCCAGCGCTGACCGCACTTGTACTCGCCCTAGTCAAACTCATCGTGTTTGACGCTGTGTAATAATCTGTTGGAAAATATAACGATTCATTTGACTTGTCTGAATCTGGCGTCGAGGGATAACGTGAGTAGGAAAACTCACATCCATGCTGAGGAGCGGGCGCATGAGGATATCCGAACACATTTGGTAATTGGATTGGAGGCTGAAAGGGGAAATACGATTGATTTTGATGCGGCTGGTGCCTTTGAGGTGGACCAGAAAACTGGAAATAAAGAGAGACACGTTATTACATTTTAATTCGACTACATGGATATACTTTGAGAGAGAGAGAGAGAGATAAAGAGAGAGAGAGAGAGAGAGAGAGAGAGAGAGAGAGAGAAAGAGAACATTTGGTTAGAAATAAAAAAAGGATAATAAAAATGTAATGAAAATATGAATGTAATACATGTAATCAGTACCTGATGAATCGGTAGTTGATTGTTTATGGAATACACCGATTGCTGATGAGGCCCCGTGTGAAGACCGTGGACTTGACTTTGACTTATGTACATTGCACTTGCCTGCACCGGCAAACTAGCCGGATGAGGATATATGGCAGGTGGTTGCCCTCCACCTCCACCTACCCCGGCCATCCCGACCACTGGTGTTCCACTGGCGCCTTGGCCACCTCTGTGACTGATACCTCGCGGTTGTTGCGGCCTTGGACCCGTTTGATAATAGCCCTGCGCAAAAGATGGACGAGAAACGTAAAGTTTCTTTTCAAAAAATCGACTTGTTTAAAAAATAAAATAAAATAAAAAGATTTTCTTCTTCATTGCGCTAACAGGTACGTACTTGAGACGCCGGTCTGTTTTGCGTCGGTACGTAAACTTGCTGTAAAGACGGCGGCTGCGTCTGTAAGTGGGCCTGCTTTCCCATTTCCTGAGGCGATGGTGTGTGTACAGGTGGTGTCGTAGTAGGCGCTGGACCTTGTGGCGGTTGCGACTGCACTCCTGGGGTCGGGGCTTGCGAGGGTACTTGCCCTCCGGCGGGACCTCCTGGTGGTATACCCGCTGTGGATTGCCCTATCGTTTGTATGCCGCCGAGCGGCGGAGGCCCTCTACCCGTGGGTACTCCTACATTACTCGCCGCGTTTCCGCCCACTTGGCCCCCTGGTTGGGCGCTGTAGTTTCCATGAAACTCCGATCCTGAAACAAACGTCACAACTTACTCAACATGTATCGATATTATTTACAATCATGTAATTGTCTAATTCACGCGAGTTCTCGCTACTTGAAATTGTGCGAATCACGACCAAGTGTTTGTTCACGTTTACGTTTTTATGGTGCAATAAATGCGCACGCATAAAACGGCAACTAGATTAAGGCCAGGTTAGGTTACGCTTGCGATACGAAAACACATTTTCCGCGGGATATTTTTATACCTTATACATACTAGATTACTTTTTTATTTAGACATGCATCTCATAGTATTTTGTAACAGATTGCCCTGCTTTCAACTTTTAATACATAAAATATGCGGCAAATATGTAAATCAATGTTGTTGTTTGTAAACATAAAATAGCATGACACTGGAAATATATAGATTATTTCTTTGCGTGTGTGTGTGTGCGTGATTATTTACATATATTTCTTCCGTTTCTTTCGTGGAGCATCTTTCGTTGAGCAGATGTTATTGCAAAAGTTGCTTCGACCATCTACGCTAGATGCATACACCAGAAACCGAAATGAATCATACTAGATCAATTAATCTCGTTGTGTCTAAATGTGATATTATCTTAGATTGTTCTACTAAAAGGACTAGTCTCTTCGAAAATAAATTCGCACATGCCTATGTATATCATATGATAAAAAGAGATAAATTCGTTTATTCATTTCTAAAATACGTAAAATCTCCAACATGTAACAATACGTGTCAGTCTCACAGAGATCACTAAAATATATAGATATTAGAAAAGCAATGTATTATATAACTAAAATAATTTGCAATAACTTGAAAACATTACTTCTGAAAAAGAGGTAAAAAAAAGAGGAGTAAAGTAAGACGACGTGCTCGACGAGGAAAAGTATCCGAGTTGTTACGAACTAGCGAGGAATAAATTACGCGTCAACTAATTACGAGCTTACGTATCATAGATTAAAGTAGAGTACGGATGGACACCCGAAACACGTCGCGTTCAATCTCGATAACATTTCTTCGCCTTTGCTTTTTGCATTCGTCCCGCCCCGTTTGCCCACGTCGCGTGTCGTCCCAATTAGTAATTACTCGCGAAAGACGAATACATACGCACGACGCCGACGTGCACGAAACATTGACGTCAACGTTCCCCGTCGGATGTCGGATCGCCAAGCGTCGTCCTCGAAACTCGAGCTTCACAAGTCCATCGCGGTCCGCGCGGCTCGGACAAGAAGAGACTCTATTCAACGGATGTTGCCCCATTTCCTCCTTTGGTGTTAAACGTAAACGAACGCGCGCGGAGGCAGAGGAAAAACGGACGGTTCCGAGTCGAAGAAAAATATGGGATCGTTTGATCGTTTCCCCATAGATGGTTGCTCACCGTTACGAGATCGTTCGCGCAGATCTGCTCCTCTCCTCGTGAGCCGTGCGGGTTCGCGCGATGATTCTCCAGACGGCGGCGTATCGTTACAAAAGCGCAACGTTGCGAGCGCGATAACGAGACTCAAACGTGGACGAACGCATCGACGGAGACGGTCCGACCTCACGGACGGCCATCTTTGCACATGTGGGCAGGGACCGGGGGCGCAGCGCTGCCATCTGTGGCTTCGCGGCGGCATCGATTCGCGGTTCGCGGGCCGTCCAGGAGCGACCCTGCCGGAAACGCGCGCCACTCCGTCCGCAGTCCGCATATGCAACGTATCCAACATGCGTTACGCGCTGTGTGTTTCGACTAACAATAAATAGATCTCGATCGAGGGTGCGACCTGGAAATCCTGGAATCGGTCTCGCAAACGCGTTTTCCTACACCTTTAAATTAATTCCTAAATTCTAAATTCCTAAATTCCTGAAATAGTTTTACACCAAAGAAAAAGCTAGCTTTTGATTTCGAGAGTACTCTTGTCGCTTGGGCGAGATAAACGTGAAACTTTTCAACCTTCCACCAGGTCCGCGTACCTTTCCTCTCGCGTCTCGCTGACGGGATCACGTCGTCGCATCGAAAATGCGATCCCACATCCCACATCCCACGCTAAGTTACAATCGGGTGGAAAGGAGGAGGAGGAGGAGGAAGGGGAAGGGAACGGGGCCTAGAGAACGCGCGATCGGGAATGGGGAATGCGGAGTGTCATGCCTGGCCTCGTACGTCATTTCCGGTGACGAATGACGTATGCAGGTCTCACACACCCCACCCATCGCCGCGCCGATTCCGTCGGCCGTCTCGGCGCGGCGGCCTCGGCATGAACAATGCGCACAGCGCAGCGCCGACTGCGCCGTGCCGCGTCACGTGTCACGCCGCGTTTGATGCACGGTGCGCTGCGCACGATTTCTCAATAGACTTTGACTCCGGGCAACGTTAACGAGTCTTAAACACACCGTCCACGCCGATCGGAAGCGCTACGGCACTGCACGACGGCGCCGCGGCGCGCGGCCGGCGGCGGCACGCTCGACGTTGGAGGCCTCGAGCCGTGAGAAGGATTAGGTTAGGTTAGGGTTAACTTCGCCGCCTTGCCGCTCGGGAAGCCACGTGGGGCGCGCGCGGCATCGGCATTATCTGTGAAACGAGAGAGATCGCTCCGTGGAAACGCTTCATCGTGAATCGTGACAGCGGCTTCGCAGTAACAGGAGCAAGGTTACCGCGAGGAGTACCGGACCGATTTTGTGGAGTCACAAGGCGGAAGCTCGTGCACCGCAGGTCGCGATTCGTCAAGGTTAAACGCGCTATATTATTCGCTACGTTCTCGCGTTATTAATCACACTTGATCCAGTGTATTCTGATCGTTAATTCTTCCCAAATGGTTTCTCTTCTCCCCTCCAAGTTTTGTATTTTGAGGAAGAAAATTTCTTTCCAGAAATCTTATCATAATCTACGTTTATGAATAGAGTTTTAGAAAGGAAATTTTGTTAGCTTAATACAAATTGTCAGTAACGCAGCTTTGAGGATGACGTTTCGAAAGACTGAAATTACAAATTTACTGGCTTCGATCGTATCGCGGCATCCTCTAACAGCCGTGTCTCAACGAGAGGAGAGGAGGGTGAGATGGAACGGGACGTATCGCGCGAAGGGAAAGGATCGAACGTACCTTCACGACGGTATACAAGGTGGAAAGCGTTTTATCGATTGACCTATATCGTGAACTGTCTAAAGCGCCGTCCAGGGGCGCTAAGAACTAACCTAAATAACAAGCCACCCCGATATATCGATATCCGCATGGCGCATAGCAGGAAAAACGCCCGAGCGCCACTGCTCAATAAAAAAAATTTGAGTGAATCTCGATTCATACATTTCTATCGCGTAGACGCCGCGCTGCGCCGCACCGCCCAGAATGTCTTTCCTCCAGTGATTTCATCCGCATCCGAGACTCCGACAGAGAGCGCAGATAGCGACTAAATAACAATAGTAGAAATAATGTTGCATTCACTAAAAAACAGTTGATCTAAGCGACGATTCACAAAACGGAGGGAATTAAAAACGATATTAAAGCTTTGCATACGTCATCGTTTTAATGTGACAACGGCATTGTGTTGAAGAGAAGAGAAGAGAAGAGAAGAGGAGAGGAGAGGAAAAACGATGAGAGAGAGAGAGACGACGCGGCTCGAACCCATGCGTCCGCAAATAGACACAAATGATTCGACTCTTGACAGACAGGTCACCGGGTCAGATTAACTACCCCCGGTGCGCTCGAAAATAACGCGCGCCTCGCATCATTCCGCTCCGTGATTGCGTGCACCCGCGCGCCGATATTCGGGCGCCCAATGTGTTGGTCGTGCGCAATAAAAAAAATCAGAAAGGTTCAACGATCGCGATGACAAGAGTGAGTCGGGTGGTGTCTGTCTCTCTCTCTCTCTCTCTCTCTCTCTCTCTCTCTCTCTCTCTCTCTCTCTCTCTCTCTCTCGAAATTACGTTAGCGCAGGTCGTATCGCGCGACGAGTCAAGGATGGATCCTGCGGGAGACCGAAAGGGTAAAGGTAAGAGTGAGGGTGTGTGCGTGTGCGTGTGCATCGGAGATAGGAAATAAATACAAATAAAAGCAGAGAAGCGAAAGAAACGACGACTGTGCTACCATCGTCGGTCGCGGGTCTTTATGTCCACGATGGAGCAAGTCAACAGCCGCGTTCGCTATTTCGCACGGCATTTCATATCGTCGCGCGTAACGTTGCGCATGCAAAAAGAAATGACGCGTGCGTTACGCACGTATCGCAAACTATTGGAGATTGAAGACTGCGTATTGGAAATTATATATCAACCACGTGAGACAAAGCGATAGATTTTAAGTTGAGAAGAGAAGATAAAAATTATCCGCGTGGTCAAATTTTACTATCCACGTCGCAGCCCTCAATTTATATATACTGATAGGAATCGGAGAAGCTATCGATGCGCTGCAAGGAAAGAAGCGAACAGAAGCACGTATCAAGTCTAATGTAGCTCGAATTAAGATAAGATCAAACTACACACACACACACACGCACGCACGCACGCACGCACGCACGCACGCACGCACGCACACGCACACATACACGTCGTGTAAATAGAGATGCTTGAAACTGTAAATCCAATGTTTCATTTCGCCCCGTGTTATCGTTCACGACGTTGTCCGCATTATCAACGAATGTACGCACAGTCCAATATTTAAAACGCACTTGCCATAATCTTCTGAGAGCCACTTCTCACGGTACAAAGAATCCTCGTAAATTAATTATATCATTCCTTCGAAGATTCAAGACCGCGACTTTAATATCATCCTTCATCCATCTTAGACAGAAAATACGTATAAAACGTAGAAAAATTAACCAGAGTAACGTGATAGATCAATTTTTAATCGGTAAACTTGTTGAAACAATGTTTTCATTGTATCATACAATATGTCTGCGATACGGCAGCTTGGTACTTTGAGGTATGTAAATTATGGATCGATATAATATGAGAACGTTGATATACCTATCGTTCATATTAGAGTTGTAATCAGCAAACGTAGCCTTCAGGACGCCATCAAGTACGACACCATTAACGATCGATTGGGAGTTGGGGTAGTTTTAAAAATGGGCGATTCAAGTTTGATTTTACCATCGCGCACGTGAGAACGTTTTGTTTCGAGTGGCAAAATATTCTTCTGTGACAAAAACCACTCCCCAGAAACAAAAGTCCATCCCAAGATTGAGTAAATATTGTAAATAATGTAAACAAGCGAGGACAAGAATGAGCCTCGATATTCGAGAAGATACGCGTATACACGTAGATCCGGATTTCGGTTTCGATACGCGTATAGACAGACTTTGAAGATCGACGAATCCTTTTCCTGGCTTTCCGTCACTCGTCAGCTGTTTGGCGCCCATCCAGCGCCCAGTCTCGCGATCGGACGACGCGACGCGACGTAACGGATAATTAACCGATCGGAGATAAAATGGTCGCTAGACGACTCGACTGTAAGACTGAGATCGTTTCGAGGTATCTGCGAGGTTTGCGAAGATCGCGGATCTCACAAGCTCGCGCAAATCGTACGCGTGATTTTTCGTCCGCGACAGTTTCGACCTCGCTGTTATCTCGCGGAAAAGCCAATGTTGAACTTGCACGCGCTCTCTTCTACTTACTATTCGCGGTGACTCGGTATTGGGGCGGCATTTGCGTTTGCTGTTGTTGCTGCGGGGGCTGCTGCTGTTGCTGCTGCGGTTGCTGCTGGTGATGTTGATGGTGGTGATGACCGAGGTGGCTGATGTTGACCGTGAGTTGGGGATGCGTCAGTTGATTGAGGTGGGGACTCGGCGACGGCGGCGGCGGCGGCTGATGGCCGGGATGCACATGGTGGTTGTGACCCGGCTGCGGGTTTTGGGGATGCGACGCCGTGAGATGGTGGTGATGATGGGGACCGCCACAGTGCGGCATCAGACAATGCATGGGTCCTAAGGCACCGACGGCGACACCCACTGCGCCCTCCTTCGAGACGCCATATCTCGAAACCATTCTTCCGGATGGAGCAGCCCGGTCGCTGCTCGCGCGGCGGCTTTTCCCTCGCGCGAGCGACTTTGCTCGCGCTCGCGCTTCTCCTCCTCCTGCTCCTCCTCCCCTCGCCTCACGGCTGAGATCCTCCCCTCCTCTTCGCTCCCTCGATCGGTGGTTAGAGACGACCCGACGCCGTCGACGAGGCTCGACGAGGTGTGTTTACGTAACGGTAAATGCGGTAATAAAACGAATTCACGACCATCGTCGCGATCCGTCGTCGCGCCTTCTCTCACGATGCTCGATGCTCGATGCTCGATGGTCCGTGTTCGGTAGCTGCCGATTTTCCCCGGAATTGGCGCGGGGACGACGATCCTTCTCCTTCGGGTGGCGCGCAATCACCCGCAATCACGTCGCAACCGTTTACGGTTCGCGCCCGTGCCTCCTCGCCTCCTCGACAAGCGCGTGCACACCTCGAGCGCGCGACACCCGTCAACTCGTCGATCGTCGACAATGGCGCGCCATGGTGACCGCGCGCGCGTCTATTCCTCCGCTCGGCCGACAGTCCTAAATCTCCGCCGTCCCCGGTGGATGATGGCCCTCGTCGCGCTTCTCCCCACGAGCGGCATCAAGCATAGCCGGGCTCGTCCCGGATCGGAGTATCCAACCACGGAAGGGGGATATACGCCAAACGCCAGACGCACACACGTGGTCGGGATTTTCGACGAGTCACCTTAGAGAGAGCAGAGCCTACGCCGCGCACTCACTTGGCGAGATCACTCGCGAGACGTGACCTCGTAGCACCTGCGAAACGATACGAAGACCTTGCGAGAATGTCGCGCGACCGTCGCGCGCGGCCGTCGCCGACTGTCACGGGACTCACGTCACGGGAATATCGTCGCCGTCGCGCGCGTCCTCGGGATAGGTGGCGGACTATCGCGTATCGCGGCTCGTCCAAAATCGATATTTAAGGCTCGACCGTCGCGCGTCGTCTCTCCCTGCCCGCGCGCTACAACGCTTACATGTGTACGTGTGTATGCGCGGGTCGCCCACTCCCGCGCTACGCCGCGGCGCCGCTACGGAAAACTGCGTGCCGTTGGAACGTGACGAGCTACGTCGGAGTTGGGTCGCGAGCGCGTCGAGGACGAGAAAGATTCTTACAATTAACCGTCGGCCCTGCGCCACGGCCGTGAAAGATCAAAAAGATCGGAACGGCGCGCGGCGGCGCGCTGAGGCTACTGTTGACTCTGCACCGTCTGCACGGCGCAACGATCGGGCGCGTTCGGTCGCCCGCCGAAAAGTACCGAGCGCGCCAACTCTCGCCCGAGCCCGAGCCGCGAGCGGGTAACCCTCTCGCGTTTCGTCCGTTCGTCGGGGATTCGGGACTTCGGGATGCGCGTACCACGTTCGAACGGAAGGAGAGCGAAGAGGAATGATCCCGAGGAACGATAACGATAACGATAACAATTTCGATTTCGATTTCGATTTACCATCGACGGCCGCCGCGTCAATCGTCGAGCGTCGAGCGTGGCGCGTTCTCTCACCCGCGTGCACGTCCGCCCGCACAACCGCCACCGCCACCGCCGCCACACATAGCGCGTACACGCACGTACAATGGCGCGCGGACGGTCTTATGGCGCACAACCACGATCCCGATGGATAGACAGGGGAAGAAAGAAAGAGAGCGAGAACGAGAGAGCGTCGCCCTCGCACGCTCGCACCTCGGCACTCACCGCTTCCACTCTTTCGAATAAGTACGACTGAATTGCTTGTCGCTAGAGTACGATACGATTTGAGTCGACATGAGGCGCGTACCCTTCGCCAAGGGACGCGCTACGTTGAACTGAGGCAGACCAGCCCTTCCCGCAGCCCGCAGCCGCACGACCTACGACGAATCGCGTACCGCCAGCTGACTCTACCGCCATCTAGCTATTCCGCGACTAAATAATGACCTCCAGGAACGTAACGACGTTTCTGTAAGCCTCGCGCCGCGCTCCGTCCCGCGCTGCATGGTAGCGGTAGCCTTTCCCCCTATCGCTTCTCCAAAATTCGTCAAATTTTATACGATAATCTACCACGTAATTTGCAACAAGCGGCTCTATAGCTTGTGTCGCGAAACCTTAGTGCCGACCTGATACGATTTTACTACTCGACCGATGAGAAACGCTTCTCATTTTACTCCATTTGTTGCAGACACGTGTTTGGTGAGCTACGACGTAGCTCGCTGCAGTTTTAGAGAGAGTGTCCGCATCCACTCTATTACAGAATTTATATGCCGATTGATTAAAACGCTGATATTTTGTTTTTATTAACGAAGCGCAGCAAGTGGTTGCAAATTATGCGTTGGGCTTTATTAATGTTTAAGGAAAGACAAAGAATTGCTTTAATAAACGCAAATTATTCGGTGCTTTGTCCAATCTTTATAAAGTATGGATTGTTTCTTTCTAAGCAATTAAACACAATTATATGTTGCAACCTTAGCAATCCTGTACATATATACTTATACATACTGTTCACGTGCGTTTAACCGCACGTGAAAAAAGGAAAAACGAGAAGCAAGCAAGTCTTTTTACTCTTGCCTTGAGACATATGTACGAAATATGTGACTGGAAAAAAAGCAAAATTAAGAATGTATTTACTTTACGAAGTCCCTCCCTCTTTCTTTGCCACATTTCCGATAGAGCTATCAACATTAAATTAAAAAAAAAAAATATATATATATATATATATATATATATATATATATATCTTTGATTTCATCTCTTCGCTCGATAGTTCGTTGCGATCATAAAGAGAACCTTGTTTCTTCTAGTTTCGTAGATGGTTTGTTGCCAGAATACACATCGTGCATTTATTATGTAAGCAACGTACGTATCGCTCGCCGTACGTATTACGCGTTTTATCACAAGAGCATCACAAAAATAAATCTTGTCAGCCTGCTCTAACGGCGCAACGATGCTAATTTATACGTACCTGCAAACGTGTCACAAAGAAACGCCGGTAATATCTATATACGCGTCCGATAGAGCACAATGGACAACGATGGCGTACGCAGACGCAAAGGGTCGAACCGTTCGACCGACCCTTCGGATGTCGTAAATGCGGCAAATTCAAATATGACGACAGATATGAATAGATTCGAATGCACGAATGCTCAAGAAATTTAGGCGTAAATAACATTAACACATATATTTTTCAGCAAACAAGCACAAGTACCTAGGATGTTAAAACGAACGTTCCCAAGGTCCCCTTTAGTCTTTCGGTTCAAGAAAACGAGTTGGCTACTTACAACTTTGTTCGTTTGTCGACATGACGTTCAATCTTCTGCAAATCTCGAGAAAACGGTCGAAAACTCAAACGGATACTCGAAAGGCAGAATGGTCAGAGAGAAAGTTTGTTAGTCATTTATAATATGTAAAAGTAATAAAAATATTACTTGTAGACTGAGAATTCTGAAAGAAAAGTAAAAATCGAGTACGTCGAACAAAACTTATTCACGTCGAAACGATTTCCTGTAGGATCTTATTATTGTTACTCTAACACGTAGATCGACCGTTACGGAAGTAAATACTCTCGACTTCTCTCTCGCTGCAAAGGTCACTTTTGTACTCGTTTCATAAAAGCACGTTACCTTGAAATCTTCCACGAACGACGTCCAACGGTTTTCTCAGAAAACTATAACGATCTTTACAAATCTCACAACGTTTCCCTTAAATATATTGGGATTATTGGGAAGATAACGTGCCGTGCAAATTCAAAGAGATGTAAAG